AAAAAAGAAAGAATGTGCAAGTAAATTAATTTGAAAACGGAAGTATTTAAAGCAATGATTTTACCCTCTTTTGCTTTCTCACAAAAAAGTTCATTGAAAATTGAATTTCAAACAATGCCTTGTAATTTCTAAAGTATGCTGTTCTGGAAAGTGATCAAGATTTTCCCATTCCTACTGTATGAATTCAATGTAATCAATTATGATTTGATTTTTCATATGCATAAGCTTTCTGTACTTTTGAATTCTGAACTGCTTGATATTGCAAGTATTTTTTTTTAAATAAGTTTTACAATATATGTAAAATATAGTTGCCTTCATATCAAGAAGCTATGCTATACCAATGAAAACACATTGTGTTGGTGGTCTTCATAGATCACAGTGACTGAATAAAATTATTTGAAAGACAGCTACTTGCAGAGGTTATTAAAATTGTGGCTTTTATCTGAAGAGATTGGGAAGACGACTTTGCAGAGCTCCCTCCCCTTTCCAATAGGGCAGGCAAAAAATACCTCTTTGATTTACCTAGGAAAAAATTGAGTTACTGCTTCTTATGAAATCAGAACAGGAATATTTTTCTTTAAGTCTGTATTTTCATTAATTACACACTAACTTGCATTCTTTGGGTGGCAAATAAAAAGAGGAAAAGCGTTAGTAGTATTTCCCATAGAAACAATTGCCTGTCAAACAAAGCATAAAAAGACAAAAGGCAGAAACACTGTTTCAGCTTGAATGCCTTAATGTCACCATTTGTCATGCAGCACTTCCTCAGAAAACCCCCGAAGTACAGTTAACTCTACTCCTCTCTTTACACCGCACACTTTCTCCATTGGTACAGGATTAAAATGTGCTGGGCCTGACAATGAAACAGCAGAGCCATGGCACATTGTTATGCAACTCACTGTCTGCAAGGGTGGCTCGTAGCTCCTTCTTTATTCAGCAAGTGCCAAGTGCATGTTTAATCAATGTCACAGCTCACCACAGGGTGCAACTAAAGCCACTGTCATTCCTCTCTTCAGATTTGCCTGGCTAAGTTATGCAATGCTCCGAAGAATACCTTGGAATTCTTTCCAGAGGCTCTGAATGCAGGTGTGTGACAGCGTTCACACTACTGCCAGTAAAGCAGACTTCTTCTCATCCTTTTTCAGGCTGGACTAAAATTACATAGTGTGACTGCACGTAGGTCGCTGCATTTGGAATTACAGCATGTCAACGTGAGAAAGCCTCTTCAGACGGCTGCCACAAAGAGTAAATCAAAGGCTGGGTTTTTCTGAAGTCTTAATAAATAACTAAGTATAATTGAATAAAACCAGGAGCTGTTCGTTGTTTTTTGGGGTGGTTTTTTTGGTTGTTTTTTCTTTTTTTTAAGACAAAACCGAACAGCATGCATTTCATTGCTCTGCATCATCTAAGGAAAAAAATCCTCAATTTTAATGAGAATTAGTCAACAGTGAGGATCATTACCAGAAAGGGTTTTACTGTTTTTCGACTACACTTGCTTTAGTGGATTACTGAGAAAGAAGGCCAGTCATTTGGAAGATTCTGTAACATTATTATCCTCACCGATAAACTTCTTCATCAAGGAACTGTTCAGGCTCCTATCTCGTCTGTCTGAGAGAGGAGAGCAGCCCCTTCATGAAGATAAAAGCCTGGTTTGCCACTGAATCGACGAGTAAGAAGCATGTCTGATGACATTTTATTCCTGATGCAATGTAGGGTAAGAAACATCTTTTTTTTTTTACCTTTCTGTGAGATACACTCTGAGCTGATGGCTTTAATTAGATTCACAGCAGAAATATGTTTATCTCCCATGATTAAAGATGTTAGCCAGGAGAGTGAAATGCTATTGCACTATAAAATGTGATCGCAAATCTTCAGTAAATTGGGGTTATCTGAACTAGTAGAAAACCCAATCAAATTTTGGTTTAAGGTTAGAAATTTCTGATCAATAAAGGCTAAAACAGCATAGCAGATTACATATAATACCAACATCTCAGCCACCAATGAAGATAATTTTACAGGGAATATGTTTCTAGAGGATATTTGACTGTAAATTAAGAGCACAAGAGCAGCTAAGTAATAGAGACGACCTGTCAACCCCACTTTTGCAACAAAAAAGGTAATAAATCACATACGCATCTGTAAATATCTATCTCAAATCCTTACATTGCATAGAATTTTGTTGCTATAAAAGTACTACTGTCCTTTGGCATATTGCAATAATAACCATATATAATAATAACAGCAATCTTTGTATTTGAAGAGACAGACATTTTCTGTTAAATGTTTACTGTTGCATGGATGTCCAAAAGCTGATCTATTAAACAAGTAAATGATAAGATCTCACCTGCAATTGCCTACTTAGGGCTCACTGGTCAAAAAAGACTGTGATACTGTATTAAGGAAGCATATTTTCCATGTTTGAAAACAGTAGACGTGAATATTTTCAACTGGTTTTGTACTGTGACAGTTAAATATTTAACAACAGCTGAAAATTCACATAATCTCCCCAGGCATTCGACAATGCCCACATACCTGCTTTCATCAATTTGATGTTTCATAAGGAAACAAATTAGCTGACTAAAGACAAATTTTAAATTTCTTTTATAATAAAGCATATTAATTGGTTTGAAGCATCAAGCTATTTTTCACTCCTCCTATCAAATCTGTATCTACAGAACAATTACTTTTTACATGGACATGTTCATACAAAAAGAAAACAAAAGATGAATACAACTCAATAAACAGCATTAAGAAATATTGTGTAAAGAAGTACAGAATTGTTTTTAAAAAGATCAAAGCTTGCATGTTTGTCGGACCAGATTTACCATTTGCTTTCTTTCTTCTAGCTAGCTGCCAGAATACTGGTGAAGGTATTTGCAGGAAAAATGGGGACCTCTGCCATCACAACACTGGAAGATGTAAAAAGGCAAGAGGAGAAAGAGGAAAAAGAAGAATCTATTTTAGCATTGCTTGGGATAATTGGAACTGTGCTCAATTTATTTGTTATTGTTTTTGTGTACATCTACACTACACTTTGATGACATTTTTGAACATCAATTGCATAGCACACAGTGCAAGGACCAGCGATGGTAAGAATGATTTCTAAATTTAAAGCAAAAAAACCCGCTGTCTGAAAAGATTATCAAAAACATTCCAGAGCAAAGTGTCTGGCTAAGGGCGCTGCATCAATGACTGCTAAATGTATCTGCGAGCCCAGCTAGGGTGCTAAATTACATAAATGAAAGCAGATGATATTCAACTTCTAGTTGATAACAGATGAAATCCCAATAGCAGAAACAGAGATGGCACTGTTTTATTGCCAGCAAGCATGCAAGACACAAGAAATGTAAGCAAACAATGAAAACAATCAGAACACAGAAAGAGATTAATAAAATTTATAAATACATATGAGCAAGCCCCATGATGCTTTCTATAGTTTTGTGCAATATGTCTCTTCATAGCTGAGACCAGAAATCAGACAAAAGGGTTTTATTTTTAGATCACCATAATTTAAGCTTATAACTTACACTAACGTATACATGTGGAAACAGGAACACTGTTATACCAAAAATTGTAATATTATAAATAAAGTTTTAACTATTGACTATATTCTGCAGCATTTTGTTAGTCTTGTGAAAAGCTGAAAAAGGTTAGATTTTCTTGCCTTTACTGAATCTGTATTTGAAATCATCATGCTACACTGACAATGTGTTTTTTCTAATTAAAACTCATTTAAAGTGGTGTGAAAAAATAAAGAATAGTTTCTTTTAAGAAATAATAATTACAATGACACACTAATACACATTCTCCAAATGAAAAAATCTTGTTACGTTTTCTATCTCACCATTTTTAGACTGTGTTTAACCTAAGTCAAATAAAACTTTCATTTTTTCATCCTGATGCTTATTTTCAAGTAAAATAAAACATAGCACACAAGGATTCATGGTGTTGCATGGAAAACAGGTTTAATATTTTTGCCAGAAGAGTGTACTCTCTCTTTCTGGACCAGGTCCTGAAGACATTTTCCCTTTTTGTACCATTTATGATTGAGGCCCGGAACTGCAACTCTTAGGCTACTTCATGGAACATGCAATTAGACTACTGAAATTGATTAAACTATTTCCATGTTTTAAATTAAACCCACGTATGTATTTGAATTAGATCCAAAGCTGCAGACAGTCTGAGATCATAGAAGCTTTTATATACATGAATATCTCTTGCATATTTCTTCTAACAGAAAAGCTACTTTTGAAAGCTTAGGATTAAAAACACAGTAGAAAAACAACACTAAAAAACCTCCGAACACTGATTTTAATAAATACTATTCTTAGTATTACATGTGCCACAGAGAAACAATAGAGGAGCTGCATTTCTGAAAATCACCTCAGCTCTTTCTCCTAGGCTGCAAAGCTACATCCATAAACTGACAAGCAAAAGAAATACATCTCTTGTACAGGTGATAGGTTATTACCGTATAGAACTTCATAACTGCTAAACCAACTACGCTTTTCTTGGAAGTCACTTTGAAACAAGCACGTGCATAAAGTAAGATCAGGGATCTAGAACAGACTGAATTTGGCAATGATTTTTCAGTCAGTTGCAGAAACTACGCTGTAACACACTGATTTATGGATGAATGAGGTGGAAGATGGTATAGTCTGGTTTTGCCACTCTGAGTCAATACTGGCTCATCCAGAAGAAATGATAAACAGAACTGCACTGGAAGGAAACATGTGCAGACAAGAAAATTTATTCACTATCCATAGTCTACAGCAAATCTCTAGTATTGTATACTCATTTTCAGTATATGAAGCACCAAAGCATTCTGTAAAACTAAGCTACATTCTAGAGAAATTATGCAGGTAATTCATGTTTAAGACTATAGAATAGAGTTGATGCATTATTAAATTTTTCAATGTACTACTTATATCTATGGATATGGATATATTTATGGATATTATTGCATTAATCTCATAATACAAGGATATTTGAGATGGGTCTTAAAATGAGAGGTTACGAGAACCTGAAAATCGAACAGAAATATGAAATTCAGGTAGAAATTACTGCTGTTTATTTTGATCCTGAAGTTATTTAAAACTTGTCAATTCTGTGAAATAAATAAACTGTTTTATTTCATGCCATTTCAGTGCATAGCTCTGTTCTCGAAATTGTGAATCAACTAGTACTCCAGCACTGGAGTGCGATAGTGCACCTTTTCTTGTAAACAATTCAACAGCAAAACAGATAAAAAGCAATCCCAAAATTATAACCAAATGTGGCAAAGGTTCAGCATCATTCTTTTACCAGTGAATGAGTTCATTAATGTTAAAGAATACTAGTGGAATTTTTAATTTTGGTAATTATACTATCTAAACTGCCATTGTACTTCTAATTTTGCTTACAGCAAAAGGCTTTCACCCTTTAAAGGAAGTCACAGGGTAATATTATCATTAGAGATTGCCTCGGCATACTGGTTATATTTTGTTTTAAAACAGAAGTCTGATATCCTCTCTTAACAAGTAATACTTGTGCTCTATACTCATACGAACCTAAGACTAACTTTAGCTAAAGGAGCTCCAATATACAGCTCTGGTACTTACACATTTAATCCAATATGTGCATAAGAATCTCAACAACAAAAAATATCTTAACAGCAACCACCTCTTATTAGACACTGTAAAAAGACAATAGTCTACGGAAAAGCAGAATTTTATGATGATTCAACACTTACACTGCAGTAGTACCCTCACATCTTCAGCAATGAGTTAGTAAAGATGTAGTACTCTTAGCTGAATAAGGTCAATGTACCAACTTCAGAGACCCTTAAGTACTCAGCCTACTCAGTCCAGGGGAACTGGAATACTTCGCAAAAACTAAAGCACCGCCATCTAATGCCTTGAGAATAAGTATGATTAATAGAAAAGAAATACTCTAACTTCAGCAGGCAATCTAATGTAGTTCAAGCTCTGAGGTAAGGACGTGAGCGCTGAAAAGTATGACTTTAACAGACTCAACTAACACAGGTATATCAAAAGAGGCAGAAAGAAAGAATTTGGTACATTCATCTTCAAACAGATTTGTCCATAGTACTTACTAAAAAAAGTTGACAATGAGGTATTTGGTTGCAGGATGAAGCAGCACAAACGTTACTGAATCCACAAGTCCAGGGTGCGGCAGTACTTGGTAAACTATGAAAGGTGCATTAAAAGCTAATATTGGACTCTTACGAAGTGGAACATGCTGGTCAGTAAACACCATCCTTTTAGTAAAGACCTCACGTAGAAATGCATCATCTCTTCTCAGCAATCAAACCCAAGGAAGACTGAGCTAATGTACCACCGCAAGCTATCCTGACCACATCACATGGCATCTTTGTCCACCAAAGAAGGAAGGGTGGCTACAGGTGGCTAAGAGGGGAGCATGTGAAGAAAGGACTGCAAGAAAACCCCAGCTAAAATTACAACATCACCTGCATCCTATAAACCTGGGAATTAGAGCAAAGAGAGTTCAGGCAGAATTGTGCAACTTGCTATGAGGTCTGTCTTCCAAGGAAGAGGTGGTACCAAACCTCTGTCACTCTTTAGCTTTAAATAAGATTAAGTCATCTCAGGGTTTGCTAGATACTAGTTTAGGGACAAGCTTGTACAAATCTATTTTTAAGCAAGAAGAGTCTACCTAATATTGTGGTATCACTGATAAATCCCAACTTCACTGGGCTTTTTACTGTCCAAGCCTGTAACAAAATATACAGTCACTGTCCTAAAAGTCACTTGATTTTCCTTCTATTTCATGATTCCCTTCCACAGCCTTCTCTCTATAAACCTTGTTAACTACAAAGACTACTATTACTACCACTTTCTTCTCTCCCACCTGTAAATACTAGCTTCTATTAGTCTTCATAAACCTAGGTCCATCAGACAAGTAACTCTTACCACCTTCAAGACAGCCACATGCTCTAGTTAGAATCTGACGGTCACATGTTTGTTGGGCACCTCTTGTTGCACAGCACAAGTTTTATTGCTGTGCATTTTGTTCAAGGAGAGAAATGTTCACATATTTGAAAGAGTTCCTACAGCAGTAATTCTTTCAACTGAAATTTGTTGTATACAAGACAACAGTGAAAAGGTTTTACATAAGAGATTTTGGTGTGAAATATGCATAAATGCTCAGCAATTAATACATGCTACATGTTCCATGATACAGAAGTTAAGAATGACATGAATTTTACCAATGTAAACATGAATTAAGTACTTAAGGAATAAACATAAATGTTTAAAAACAACCCCAAACTCACCATGTTACAAACATAAACTTTTTTCATTTATAAAATGAAAGAAGATAAAAGCCACAGTAATGCCATACCAAGATACTAAACAAACACAGGAAAAAATAATCAAGAAAGAGGGTGAGGATTACAGCAGCTATTGCTCCTTGTGACTAGAGCTATGATCTATCTTGCATAAGAAGGAAAGTCCTTCATAGACAGATAAACCTTCTTTCTCTACAAGAAAAAAGCAATTATGGAAATTAATGAAAGTGGTCAGTTCACAATTTTCAAGGACTTCACAATCACCTTGCTATGATGCAGATGAAGCTGCAGAATGTGTCAGAGCAATCTGGTTTGTAAAGATCTCATTCAAGGTGAGGTTTCTAAAAGATTAAATGATATGTGAGCACTCCTTATCTGATCAATATTCCTTTTCTCTAGAACAATCTAGACAACAATCTAGTCCACCTATGTTTTGGGCAAATTTAGCTGGGATGGTAAAACATATTTAAGCAACAAAAAACCTAGATAAATTTCTAACTGTGACAAACGCCAAATTTATACTCTGACACTGTAACTGTTCAAGAATTTTGCCAAAACAACTTTACAAGCAGGATGTATCATACGTGCAGCTAACTGAACATGTTTAAACCACATACAAAATTCTCATCAACACCAAAATACTTACTACCTTGTATCACCCTAGTGGGATCAATCTCCCGTGCAATAAAGGGAAACAACATACCCAGCAGCTTCATTGCATATTATATTTCTTTACAGAAAATTTTTCCCACATAATTTTATGCATAAGACAGATATGTAATATGTGAAGATCACTGCTGTTGCAACTGTTTACAGCAAAACCAAAAATCTAGTGGAGGAATACCATGAGCATAAGGGTAACCTTTAACTAGTACCATTAGCATCCATTCAAGTCTGAGAAAGTTAGAGTTGCTGAAAATCGCTATTTTCTGTCAGCATTGTGCTGGGTACAGCTTGTACCTGCTGGGGTGCCAGAACCCGGGAACACTGTATTAGTATTCTGTATGCAGAATTTCTCAGTCCAGCATATTACAGGAAGAATACAGTTACCTCCTTCTTCCAATGAAAGTACGTTTTGATAGCAGAAGGTACACTGGTCTGAAAACCAGAAGACCGTGTACATGAATGTTACTAATAATGCTGTTCCCTTTCCTGCTCCTCCTGAGTAGGCATTCAGCCCTATCAGAGAAGAGAATTTTTCAGTCTTACGAGCATTTTATCAGAGCTTCTCAACCTCTGTCTCTCTTGTGACAACCAGGCTCTCTGTCAGCTATGTCTCCTGACACTCTGTTAGTGATACCAAGAGCCCCAGCATCACCTGCAACTCAGACTCATTAATGTGGAATTATCTGTCTGCTTTTGAACTAAAGGGTAATTACTGCATTAGAATTATGCCTGGCTATCACAAAGACGAACTATTTTCAGGGACTCCTTTTAAACTAAATGCATCTGACTCAAATATTCATGAAGAGAAGACATTCTTTCCAGAAGTCATGCCTTTTTGCACATTTCCCTCTCATACTGATATCCTATTATGTTTTCAAAGACAAGCTTGACTGATATAAGCCTGCAAAGTTTTTTTTTTTTTTGGTAAATCCAGAACATTGTTAATTATAGTTTTATGTATAGAATTTTGAACAAACACAGCAGGAAGCATTCAAGACTATTGCTTGGATCAATGTGTTAAGCATAACAATGCTGCTACACTAAGAGCTACAGATCCATTTATGAAAAAGCAGGAAGTATCTGCTTTGGTCACTCTTTACTAATGTTTATTTCACAAGTACGACATATGATCATCCCCTGCCAACAACAAATAACAGTAGTCCAGCAGTGGAAAACATACCTAAAATCAAGATTTCCCACTGCAACTTTGCCTTTTCTTTGTACTTTGGGAAAACAAATGGTCCCTGAAAGTCAAACTAGTCTGAATCTCCCTCCAAGAGCCACACACCTCATCTTTTCTATCGGTATCTGACTGCTCTTCCCCAGTTAAAGGTGACTTATACAGACAGATATGTTTTGCTATCGAAAAGAGCAAAAAGCAATTTCAACAGCTGCAATTCATCTATAACTCAGAATGAACAGCTTCATTCTTAGGTAACATAGCATTTTTGCCAGGTCTTTCAGTGACTTTTCCTTTCTACCTCAACAAAGAATAATTTATGAGTATCTGTTAGGTTACTTTATTGTTTTACTTTATTGTTTTGCATTAGATTTTCATTTGCAATAATGAGCCTGGTGTATAAGCTACAGAGTTCATTTTCCTCACTGTAATATGTGCAAAATAGAACCAACAAATTCATTGCATAATTAGGGAGAGGTGTCAAACTGTGGACTGGCAAGTGAAATATCTTCATATTTTTGTTTTTACTATAAGGTCCCAGCAGACTTTTTGAACTACTTCCATTCCATCATACAAGATTATGTAATGCCCTAGTTACCACAGATTAAGAGAGCCACATTCTTGTTTTAGTCCTACGTAGCTTTGTAAATACTTAAGACACAGATGATTTCTCTCTTACACTGGAGATAAAATATACTGTGTAATTCAACACCAAGCTATGACATTGTTTCAAGAAACTCACATCACCGCACCCTACAACTGGCATTCAGAAGAACTGCAATAATGTGACAAGATGTTTAGCAGTTACTCCAAAAATAGAGCATGTGAAATAAGGGTCCAAACCCAAATTATTCAGATTTAGAAAAACTCCTTCTGCTACTTAGGGATTAAATCCGTCCTTACAAAGCAACTAAACAAAAATTCAACCTAAGGCTAAGGCAGTGTTTCAAAACTTCAGGCTGACAGTTATCTGAAGAAAAAATGGTTATCAATATCTTCATACTAAAGCCCGTCATCTAGTGAGACTGAACATAAATCACAAACCCAGTCTGCTGATTTTGCTATTAGTTCCACACAGGCATTTGCTTAACTCATACTGCTTGACGTTACCTTGTACAACTGAAATGGTAAGCAAGGTACACCATACTGGATGAAACTAGCAAAATGCGTTTTAAATTTATGAGTAGAAATGTAATGACAACATAAGACCAATTTGTTTTTCCTTTAAAAAACCCAACGACAATTTCATTGTTCCCATATATTTGAAATATTTTGCAATTTTGGTAACAGACTTTAACAGGTAACAGACTTTTTAAGATTTTTGTATTTCCTAAATAAAGCAGAAAAGGCTCCGATCAAAGTAAAAGAGAATTGCCCTAGTATGAGAAACATTTACCAACTTCATGCATATACCTGCTCAATTTTCTCACAAAATTAACATTTGTCTTCAAAGTAAGATTCATGATCTTGTATAACGTGCTCTCTCTCTCTCTCCATGTATTGTCTACACAACAACTAAAATATAAACTTTTCAGATGAGAATAATATTTTCCTGCTAATTTCAAGTTTAAGAATGAAATTTCAAATTTAAAAAAGACATTAAAACCCCAAAGTTTAAACTCTTAGAACAAATGAGTATTTCAACGAACACTATCATTTTGTTTTCTAAGGCTCAAGTGAATGTTCCATTAGTATAATTCTAAATTGGCCAACGTATTGAAACGAGCCAGAACTACCTACTGTTTATATAAAAACCTATTTGACAGAAGTAAGCCAACTTTGATGTAGAAGGAGACAAAGACACCTTACCTGAATCATTGCGGAGGTATGATGACATTGCTGGGATGAGGCAAGATTGACTGAGTAGCTCCAGGAGAACGGATGGAAGAGCACTGCTGTTTTGTCCTCTCCCCTCATGGCTAGTTTGGGTCTCTCCATTTGATGTACTCCCTGCAGGATTTATGTAACTGGCAAGAACCTGAAATACACAAAAATATTTAATCAAACCTGATTTATTTTAGCCAAAAGAACTTTGACTTTCCTTCCTTAAGGAAGACACCATACTACTACACTATTTTGCTAATTCAGTACTGGTATTTATTTCAGCAGTCCCAAAGATCTTTCAGAAGAAATTCTATACAGTCATTAGATTATGATTCCAACTTTGGCTAGTGCTAAAATTAAATAGCTATTAGAATTCTGAATTACTTTAAGATATCAATTAATATAAATTTTGACAAAACTGCTGGAGTTACTTGAAGCAGGAGTTTGCCAGCTCACACAGATGCTGCTTCTCAGCCCCATTCACTTCAGGACACGCTCTAGCAATAAAATAAGTATTTTTTTTTTTAAACTGCAGATTTTTTAAAAACACTTGTAACTTCCTTTTGGATGGGACTTCAGGGTTTACAGATGAAACAACAACCTACGGCAAGCATGCCAGTTCCTTGAAACAACCACTTGTGAGCACAGCTCTTGCTTCAGCAAACAAAGAGCAGCCTTCCCCTCAGTGACGGCGGGAGACTCACCTCAGGACTGCACACCTGCTTGTCCCAAAGGTAGTCCTTGCCGAGTTCACAGGCCCTTATCGTACCTGTGTTGGAGACGTACAACCCAATGCCCTTCCACGAGTCTGATTTGTGCAGTCATATTCTCAAATTAAGTAACTTCAAGGCTTCAAAGGCTGTATTATTTGAAGTCACAGGGGCTCTATTCACCTTTTTAGCCTCTTCTCCTTTCTTTCATTCTCCCTCTTTGCTCTAACCCCAGTACCTGTGGTATTTCGCTGCAGCATCTTATCAGCACTCCCTACAACAGAATTTTTCTAAACAACCTTTCTGGAGAAGGGACTAGGCAAAGTCTGCTGTACAACTGACTGACATCTTCAGCAAAATACTGAAGGGTTTTCTACTTCTTCCTACAATTGCTGACAACCCGATGCAAATGCCTCCTTTACCTCAGGACTTATGGCAGTTGTAGCTAAACCTCTGCATGGCATAATGCAGAATACTGCCTAGAAACTTTGCCAAGAATAAGTCAGGTGATTTTCCTCTTTCTTGCTTAGGAAAATTGTTTTAGATTTTATTTGTTTTGCTTTTGCAAGGGATGTGATACTTGTGCCTTGCAATCTACAGTGACTGGAATAACTGATTACATCAAAATGGTATCTGCATCAGTCAGGGCATCGGCATTTTCAGAATTTCATCTCCTTTGTGCTCTATCCCTGCAGTGAGCTAATGCATTTGAGCTGACAGTTCCGTGAATGAAATTTTTGATGACTAGATAGAATCTCATTTAAAACTAACAGAGGTTGGTCGCACTTCACAATGGACTGAAAAGCCTAATTAAGCAGGATTTTCTTCTCCTTAGCATGAAGCATTTGGAATACATCAGAGTTTTACTAAGATCTGGATGTTTACTGGTGATTTACTACTGTCATATAATTGATATACTCATGATTTTATAGATGTCTGAGTGAGATTTTGTTACATTGGCATAACACATTCATGGACACCAGTAACAACTGCGGATATTTCCTCAAAGCAGAGCAAAAATACGTGAGAAATGAATAGATATGATTATTTGGCACACACAACAAAATGCCTATTCCTGCATCCTCTTCCTTTAATGGAGAGTCTTTACTGAATGCAGTTATGTCCACAGAGACGTATGACAGCTCCAGCAAAATACACTGGAATGCATCTTGGTTCATTGTCTATTCAGAACTATCACCCAGGCTTACACACTTAGGTCTTTTTTATGCAGCAGCCTACTGACGTTTGAAAACAGCCTCACTCAAAATACGATCTATTCTATTTTTCATGTAAAGAGGCAGTTGTAAATTAATTTTTTTTCCCCCAAATACCATAATTACTGCGCTATACGACTGAAAAAATACAAGCTTGATTTTTATTATCCAGGTTCTAACATTTCAAGTGGTTATCATTAATCAAAATTTCATTATTACACACCTGTAGAAGGCAGGTCACGTGCTCTTCTTCTAACCTTTGCTTAGTCAAAGCTTGTTCAACATCCCATCCTGAAGCTGTGGAGCCTGTTCCAAAGCCTGTACCCTTAGCCCAGTACAACTGCTGTTCTTCTGTTGATGCGCTGTTGTGTGTACTTGACACCTGTGGCTAAGTTAAAAAACAAAACCAAAAAAACCCACAATAATTTTACTTTTCTCATCTTATGAACCAATTCTTTGGAAAGCGTTTGTTCTGCAAAAGAAGGTAATCCCAGTTTATTAACTTAATAAAGATATCATTGAGAGTCAGGGGAATTCAAAGTTTTAGATAGGAAAGACTCTGCCACATACATGGAGTTCCAGTACAGGTCAGCTAAATTGTTGCAAGTGATTCTTCTGTAAGACCATTTTTGTTCTCTTTTAAGATACTGCCACTGCTTAAATGATTAAAGCTATTAAAATGCTACTTAATCCATGTCATGCTAAACATCACAGATCTTTATTATTACTATTTAATACCTAGTCAAGTTTAATACCATAATTAGCTGAAGTGAATGGAAGTAGAAATGCCATCGGAAGTGTACAACCGAAATGTGTAAGATACATGTATAGCTCTGAGACATGATCTCTGAGTCACTGAAAAACACACTATTTCCTCTCCAGATAACGGGGGAAAATACCTTGTCCTTAAAATGTTCTGAGAGAGAGCATTTTTCCACAGGTGCACGTACAGGTTTTTCCAATGGTCATCATCACTGCATTTTAAACTCCAGCATTATATTGCTTGGTCCTTACAAAACTATTTAAGTACTTAGGCTAATTTTGAAAGTTTATCAGATCTCTGGTGAAAAGGATGCAGAAAAATCTCTGATAAGCCTTTTTAAACTAATGCTTTCCTAATTACATATTTAGCATCCTAAACAAGTGACCTCATTTTCCTAGTGATGAACACTTGCTACTTTCGTTAGAGTTACTCAGTGACAAGTAGCCTTACTAGCAACCAGGTCAGGTGAGTAGGTGCCCAACTTCAATTTGTAATATTTGATTTACAGCTCTGAAAAGTTTCATTTTCTGTTCAGATCTTCAATGACTTTGTTCGGGATTATACTTGAAGGAAAAGAAATTATGTACGAACAGATTGCAAGGGTAAAAAAAAAGTTATCACCTATGAAATACCATACTGACAGCAGTCTGGAATCACTATTTACCTTTTATATTGGGAATGTAATGCATCTTGGTGATTAAATAGCTGTGTGGTTATTCTCACCTAGACATTACTCATTACATGACTCATTAACATGCTGTGCCTTTAACATTCAAGAGGACTGTCATGAGCACTGACTTAAAGCACCTAAGGGAAAGCCTGGCCCCAGAAGTACGAGCTTCAGTGAAGGCCTGATGGATCCATAGTTTCAAGTTACCATCTACCACCTGATAGATATGAATTATGAGAAGGCAATGTGTTTAAGGGGTCATGGTAGAACTGAAACAGAGATAGGAATTAATGGTTGCCCTTTCCCTCCAAAAGCGCAATAACGCTAAGGCGTTAATGTGTCAGCAGCCTGATACCCCATTAGGAGCAGAATATCTCAGCTTCCCCTTAAATTTGACTAGGCATTAAAGTGAATTATTCTCATGCACAGCTTCATCTCTTCCTTGCTCAACCCCTCATCAGTATCACAGCTGCTAAAATATGGACAGCCCTGTATTTTGCATCTACTTAGCCATATCTAGGCACAAGGAAATTTTTCATGCAAGCCTCTGCCACAAATATGCTAAAGAGGACAATTCAAGAATGTTTTTTGAACACTTTTATAAACAATTGGTATGTTATGCAGAAATGGCAACTCACAATCCTAAAAAAAATATCAAGGGATACATGTTCAGAATAGAGAATAGCACAATACAGTAAGTACTTTGAAAAAGTTTAATTTTGAAGACTTGCAATCTTTAACGCTATGGAAAATATTTGTCTTTGGATCTTATTTCCCCATCAGTAAAAAGGGGACACAAAAAATCACTGCATTAATTCATTAATTTTCACACTCATTTACGTTTGTGAAGCTTTTAAGAGGAAATAATTTGCAGCCAGTAGAGTTTAGATGATGAATGCTAAATAAGGTAATGAAGTCGTGCTATCTAACGAGGATTAAAGAACCGCCATCCATTGAGCATTATGCCTCTCATGCACTGAAAAAGAAGGTGCTGTGAAAGAAACTGATTACACCTTAATGCCTCATGACAAGCCTTCTTTGTTGGTTAGATTTCATGATTACTATGTTTATTTGCAACATGCAAGGATAATTACTTAATCAAGTACTTTCTAATTATTTTAGCTCTTCAATCAAATGCCAACTCTGCAGAAATTAGACTATAATGAAAGCATGGAGATTATTTTCTTTTTTATAGTTAAAACTCTTACTGCTTTCCACTGGCAATTATTCTGCTGCTAAACTTACCTCTGCCTGGTTGGGACTAGAGTTGGGCACTCTTGGTGCATGGTGGCTTAGAGCAGACAGACAAGCAAGGATAAGATGTATAGCCCCAATCTCCAGTGCCATCCGTCTAAGCAGCACTCCATCATCAGTTGTCAAAGGTGTAGTGCTGAACAAACTACGCAACACATGGAAGGGCAGAGTTGGAAGTACGTTTGCTGAAGGAGACTGCAGGATATGACCTAGATTGAAGAAGAAAAATATTAAAACCATATTTTCTTTCAAGAGTTCAATACAGCCTGCTAATATGTGCAATGGTTTATGAACAACACATACAGAAATATACTAAGGACTTAAGCATTCACATATAGTAAGCTATCTAATATTAGGTTTATCTTCACAAAAAATTTTCAGCAGAAGAGTGTAGAAGAAATAATGTTTCTTTATTTCCTTTATGGATTTGGTTAAGAACCAAAGTTATAAAATCCCATTCACCATTTCCAGGGAAAAATAAACCTTAGCTTGTGAATAATAGTGAGTATACTTCTGTATTTGACTACACTTCAGGTTGTATTTCTGAATGAAGAAAACAAAGGTGATTCGGATTATTTTTATTTTTTTTCACCACTCCAACTATAGCAAGTTAAAGAATGCACATGGTCAGCTAATAGCTGCTCAGCTGACAAGGAGCTTATTATGATCTAGGATTTTCTTCTCATACTCATGTGCCCAAATTGGGAATTAAGTCACTGACACAATCCAAGCTGTGACGCCACTCAAGCCAAATACATGGTGAAATACTAACATAATTTTAATTAGATGAGCTGCATGTTTGAAGTTTGTAGTAGAATAATTTTAATTTTTTAACCTTTCGCATTATGAGCAAAAAATTACTTCTTTTAAAAGCCAAATTTCAAATAACAGAGTTACCTGTAATGCAACATACTCAGATTTGGGAAAATGTCTCAATTTTTTCTGTATTTAACAATGTATTTCACATTCCTTCCCCAGTGTATGTGTAGAGATATTTGACAAACTGAAAATACTTTAAAATAGCCGAATCTGTTCAGATGTTTCCTTCTTATTTTAAATATATTATTTTCTCCCTCATTCTTAGAGTTTATCAGCCATATCATCATCCAGAGGTCTAAACTGAAATACATTACAAATACGTATGGCTATATTTGTATTTATATGTATCTACACACGTGCATACACACGTGAATTAATTCATATCTATCTGGCGCTCTTTGTAAAGACAATAACAAGGAAGCAAAAAGTCCTCTGACTGGGATCTTCATAAATAAAACTGAACACCTCTGGAAAAAAGCCCATCTGACAGACTTCCAGTATCCTTCAGATGTAGCCAAATGACAAGGAGACAAAAAAAATAAAAATAAGAAAATATCTAAACATATATGCCCACAACTTCTTTTTGCAGACAACTGAATCCTCGTTTAATCTACAAGCCATGGATTTGTAAACGCAGCTCTTTATATTATGTGAGAAAGTAAAGAGATTCTAGGTGTATGAAAATATGCATTTCCAACAGAAAAGGAAAATATTAATGCTTTATACAGAGACCTAACGCGGACTGCTGTATACAATTGATCCCACATTTTGTAAAGAGTTGAATTCAGACGTTTGTCTTAGGGAATGGAGAAATTGACTGTTTAGTCCAGCAAAAACAAAGGCTAAGAGGGAATACAATTCAACAAATGTATCAGGGAAAGAAGAGCTATTTATGATGAGAAACAATACTGGCACAATGATAAATGGGCACAAACCGAACATGAATAAATTTATGCTGAAAATTAAAGCAGCCCCCACCTATCAGGAAAATGATGTTCCAATAGCAATAGTGGATGCACACACAGACACAAAAAAGCAACCCAAATTTTAAGGGTTTGAGTTGGTCTCTTTATGAAAAAAAAAAAAAAAAAGAAAAAAGAGAAAAGGATGTAAAATTGTTTGCAATAGCAAGGGACTGGAACCACTCAAGGACAAAAATCTGAGGGACTGAATATAGTCCTTCAGTTAATTACTACTCAAATTAGGTGGGAGTAGGCAGCCAGACTGAATTTTTTTATCCAGTTTATCCTTGTCTACTGACCTGTACCTAAATACAAGAGAAATAAAAACATAAACAGAAGGGAGAGTAGACAAGACTTTTAGTTTCTCAGTTGGTCTTGAGCTACACACTGTCCACCACTCTATAGGCTACTGAACAGAGACTAACTTCAGTTGATTGCTGCATAGAAAAACAGCATTCTTTTCAAAGTGGTAGTGAAAGGAAATATCTTAAAAGTACTAAAACATCTTTCACATACACTCTTCCAGTTTTTCAAAACACTAATACAAATATTAGAACCATATGAGGAATTCCAGGTTTGGTTGCAAAGACACTGACTACAAATTGTCTCTCAGCTCATCAGTTCATTCATCGAAGAATATCCCATTTCCCCCTCTGAACTCACACCATTAAGGTAGAGCTCCTGATCAGCTAATCTGATCACTATGACCTTTAGATCTTTCCTTTTCTAAAACAGTACTATTCTACAGTTTATTCTACATCTGCTGTAGCTATGCTCCTATCCATATTATTTTGCATTTGGTTGCAGAATTATATGACATTTGCTCAATTACTTGAGCATACCCAGCTACTCAGACTGTTCTGTCCGAGCACACTGTCATCTTGACAGTGTCATTGTAAGTTTTATCAGCAGTTATTTTACAATTACTGACATCTCGATGAAAACACTTGAATACTGATGACTGTGACAAAACTTTGCCAGACAGAATTTAATATTTAGAGACAACAGGCTACCAAAGATGTTAGCAACACAGTTCTGCACGAATTAATTCTAACTTCCTGCTAAAAACATTGCAGTGTAAATAAATGTAAGTAAAATGATCTAGCCGTGGTCTACAAAGAAACATAGTAATTGCAGCACATACTTCCTTCACCATCATCTGTAACTCCCAACACCAATCTCAACAGACACTGAGCATGTTTCCGTTCTTTTAGCAGCACCTCAGCATAGCCCGGGAGACGAAGAAATAAACCAAAGGCAGCCAAAGAATGCGCGGGTATGGGAGACATAGTCTGAACTGTTGACTTGATCGGTGGAGGTTCTGCAGCAATTGTTTCTGGTGCTTCATACACCAATTCCCCTGATTGTTCAATGGTAACCCATTCAAATTGATCACTGTCCTTCTGCTTTTCCTGCGTGGTTGATGTAACCACCGGAGTGCTCACCTTAACCAACAAAAACAACAAAAAAAACATGGTAATCATTCAGTTAATCACCTATGCAAAAATTTTATTCAAGTTAGGATCTAAAGGACATACCATCTTAATATAGGACACCATTAAAAAGTCACATGAAATACACTACCATGTACAGATACAGGGACCAGGAAAAATGGCTAAAAAAGGGCATTCTTGTTGCATTTTCAATACCGTTCTAAAAAGTCCCACCTACACAAGCAAGCAATTGTATTCTGCCAATGTAAAATCCTCAGTTAAAAACGTGTTGCTTAAAATCTAGAGGCATAGGCGACATAATTTACCCAGAAATAAACACCACCAAGATTAGTTTATATATCAGACTGTTAAATAAGAAATGGCCCTTTTATTTTTTACATTAAATAGTGTGAACTCAAGTATTTAGTTTTTCATTACACATTGCAAAAAGGAGAACAATTAATCACAATACCTTTAAAAACTAAGAAGAAATTTGGGTATCTTAGCAGTCTTGTAGCAACTCATGTGCTCCTTTTGGGCTTTCAATTGATTTGGCAGGCTTTATTACTATTATTCTCTAAAATGACAATCTGTAGTTCTGTTTTATAAACAGAGGTCTACGCAGCCAGGCATTATGATGGGAATCAGAGTTTAAGGGGGTAACAGTTGCACAATTCCTCAGGAAACAGTCATACACTCAGTTAAAATGAGGGTATGACACCCATAATTAAACATCACAGAATTTTCAGGCTTTTATGCTATTACTGACACAATCATATTTAAAATTTTAGTATTTATCACCAGACTGATCTAAACTGCAAAAGATTATTCTGAAAAGCCCTTGCAGTATTTATGCAGAATACCAAATTCCTAATTAAAAGTCAAAGTCATATTTAGTTGTATTTATTCTAATCATCAGTGACACAGAGAAATAGAAAAGTAAAATTAAAGAATGAAGAGTCTGGAGAATTCAGTAGTCTTTACTCTGAGTCTTCTATTTGGTATTATTGTACTTGATTTGCTTTTATGGATCACAGAATTCTTATTCCGTATTTGAATCCAAACTTATATCTCAAGCTAAAAAATTGTGAAAAGAAAATAACTTCCCAAAACTGTATAAAAAGAAGGAAAAAAGGGATAAAATTTCTCATGGTCGTAAGTGCCTTTCATTTGTTGCACAATTCCATGAATCAATCTTCTTCAATACAGAGTATACATTATCTCACTTGGATTTCAAAATATAGTAATTGCTTATGTGAACACATTTCCTTAACTTTTAATTTTTGAACAGGTTTGATAATAGACTTCTAAAACCTCTTCACATAACTTTTTACAAAGGATTCATACTAATTATCTGGTCTCAATACAGGGTTTCTTTCCCTGCCATAGTTGCAGTCAGGGTACTGAACAGCACCCTTAATTCATGATTAACTTAATTTCAAAAGGAATAGATATTCACAATCTTTCCTATTAGGAATATTAGCCAAAAAATTAAAATTTATTCTAGCTAAATAGAATTTGAATAATTCACAGGTTATTTCTTCCCTTTTTAATAAAGACTGTGTGCCTAGAACAGTGGCCAAAGGAGTAATTCCACACTAATGCCACTACTGACACTTTTGAAAAGCCGATCAGTGCCTCCAGAAAAATTCTATATCTAATAAGCATACAAAATAAATAACATAAATATTATTCATTATATTATTTTAGCTATACTATTTATGATTATAAAGTTAATTATGATTATACAGTTATTTATTAATCATAAATTTGAGAACTGAATTTCACTTGACCATAAAAAAATCCTCTGAGGGTATATTCACATGAGCAATTAAATGATAAGCAACTATGGCTTTATCATTCACCAGCAACTTTATGTTACTGTCCCCTCTAAGATATTTTATGAATCAACAGAAGCAAGGCAAGCAGCAACACTGAATTCATACATCTGCTCCACAAGGACATGGCTACTGAAGCAGCCTACAAAATGTATAAGGAAACAGCACGTCTAGTTGGACTGGGCCGTGGAGTTATGCACTTGCCTATTTTAAAGCAGCTTCCCCACATAACTGAGATGTCAAACTGAACCATAGAGAAATATGAGGAAAATACTGTCCTGGAACAAACACACACAACATTCAGCATGCTTTTCTATGCTGATTTTTTCACTCACTTGCTGAATTACATCAGGATAAAGCATAGGGAGTCTCTCTGCAATTAGGGCTAATCCACCCATTCCTGCAAAAACTTGCAGCGGAGACTGAATGGGACAGGTTTCAAGAAGCGATTCATCTAGAACTGCATCCATGCACTCATCCCCAGGACTGATTGCTTCATCTTCAGGGCAAGGTCCCAGTAAATCTGTATGTTCTACAAAAACACAGGGGTAAAAGGAATTAATACATCATCATCAATATTGTGTTTATTTCTTTGTCCTCACTTAAAAGTGTACTTCAAAAGTAGCAGTTCTGTCATAAGCAAAACCAAAGTAAAAAACCTGAAATGAATGAGTACAAGAGTATCAAAAGAAAATATAAATATTTGTGGTACCTTTTCCCAATGATGGCAGATCCATGTCATAGCTTGGGATTATTTACACAGGGTTACAAGTTAATTATTAGAATTTTATGTTTTATTAGAATTTGATCTATATGTTCAAAATTTTGTTAACTTTGGAAGTATGACATTTTTTAACACTGTCTTTCCTTTGGAGGTAAGAGTAGGTTTGTTACGCTTCGATAAAAGTTTATAGCTGAAGAAAGGAATGATAACCTTACTTAAATTAGTCTTGCTTTTTCCTCAAAAATGCTCAACAAGATTTTTTTTTTTAGTTTCCTCTTTCCCACCATTTAATTCACCATCCATAAAGTCCTGTCACCTATCGCTCACCCCACCTATCATTCTCACATCTCTTCTCCGTGAGGTATCAAAATGCCCCTCTGCCACAGCTATGAAATGTTATTCTATTCTTCCCCATAAAAAAAGATCAACTTTCTACTAACCTCCATACTCACAGTTTATGACTAAGCACCATAATATCTTTTACAACGGACAAAAATGATCATTTTATACAATGATGCACATAGGTTGTATACACAGAAGCCCACCACGATTCATTTTGCCAAGAATAAACCCTCTGCTCATTACCACAGGCAAACTTCACAGTGAATATTCAATTTAATTCATCTAAAGAATCTGTATTGCAGATTATGTTGGTAAATACTATAATGGAGTGGTCCTCAAAACCTTCACAGTATACCCATATCAAAAGGCAGCACAGATCAAGTAGTCTCAGTGTCTCTTTGCTATGAGCAGTTTGACACCCAGCTGAAAATCCATGATTATACTTAAAATACTTGGATGCACACATGCTATCATTTAGTTTATACTTGTAAAAACAGATAAGCACATTAAAGCATTCATGCAGCTACCAAAACCAACTTTTTTTTTAAAAAAAGTTTTAACCACAGATACTTTATCTTTTAAAATCTTTTCTTCTGTAATTTGAAAGGGAATAGGAAACAGCAGGTCATGCATATGTTGTGAGAGGAGCACATCCCTATCGAGCAATGTGATCAAAGTATCAGATTTAAAAAGCTCATATCAGGGATATGTAGGGGTATGTACCTCAATTCTCCTTAATTTGACCTGATGGACTATGAGAAATAGAAAACGCCACATACACGTCCAAAGCAGGGTAATCCTTGTAAGAAAGAGCCCAATCATAACACTTTTGGTATATACAGCTTTGATGTCTACTGTGCATAAGGACACAAACAGAAACCGCCTCTGTGGAAGTTTTCCCTATCACCACAGATAGTCGGTAAGGTTGTCTGCAATCATGCTGGTCTCAGCAAGGGACCTCCTGCTGTCAGTCATGTGGAGGATTCCACCATGCTAGGCTGAACATGATCTACAGTTCAACTGTTTGTGATAAAATGAATTGATCGGACCACAAGAAAGGCTAGATTTCCTTGATAAGGCAAATTTTAAAATAAAGATTTTGAAGGAAGACTCACCCCTCTCTTTTACACTGTTTTATAGTGTAAAAAAGTTGTAAGCCTTCCCAAAGAAGGAAAAGAAAATAGACACACACAGATATTCAAAATGCACAGAAAGATCACTAAGGCCAAATGCCTCTCTGCAAAAGTCACTTGAAAAATACGTTATCAGTGAATAAGAGTACAGGCAGATCTTTTATGATGCGAGTATATATAAGGCTACTCCTTTCACATCATAAATATTGTTGCAAGCGGTTACACTTAAGCATGCTTCTCCAGTACGTGCTTTAGTTAATCTTCTTACAACCCAATTTAAACCGTTTCACCCCCATGAATGCTCTGCAAGTTTTCAGTGAAGTCATGCACTTCAGCTATGGAAAACTGCTGGTCTCAAAGCCACTGAAGCACACAGGAAGAAATATAAATAAATGACACTTTTCCTCAAGTATAGCAGTAGTAAATGTAGCTCTGGAGACACTATGTGATGCTATAAAATCTATCCACCACAGATAAAAAAAGTCTAATTTAAGCAGCAAAAAAGGAAATACTAATACGTCGGAACGATTGCTATAGATATCAAAAGCTAGTAGTGTAAAAGCAGTAGCACTAACCTTCATAACTGATGAGTGGTGATTGACAGACACCTGAATGTAACCAGTATTTTGCTGTATAACACCACAGATCAATGCATTTGTAATGACAAAGTCAAATTTTCAAAAGTATTAGTCTCAAGTTTAAAAAAAACCCCAACCACCTAGTAATTTAAAGTTCAAAGAGGACCTTCATGTTTTCACATGCAACTCTACTACTAAACTAAACCTTCGTTCAAACAGAAAAATATTATAGGTTTAGAATTTAAATAAACAGCAAAACAAAACAAAAATATTGTTTGAAAGGGAAAGACCTCTCAACAGTGTGAGAGATCTGTATATGCAGCTATTACCTGGAGTCAGGAAATACTTAGCTCAGATCAGATAAAGAAAAGTATTTTCTTGGGTTTTGGGTTGTGGTTTTTTTTTCCCCCCAACTTTTCTTTCTGTTTCTTATCTTTTCTAGGAGACTGATTTATCAAGTGAATAGATTTTACAAGAAGCCCCTGTCTTAAAATAGCCGAATTTGTAATTCCATGCTGTGTCAGCAGGCAGGCGATCAGCAGATCACCTTAGCTTAATTCCAAGGTCCAATTCCTCTAAAGAATTATATCAAAATACTTCAAAAAAGATTCCTGGGATACACCTCCTCCCTCCCCCTTCCCCAGCACTATGAGTAAATAGATAGCAAGCAATTAGAAAAAACCTTAGCAAGAAACAGACCATACTAGAAAATGTTAACAATAACATTTTAAAAAGCCAGAGTTACAAGGACCTGCTCAGATGGGCTTGAAAATAATTCCCATTTTCAAAAAAACATTTAAGCACCCAAGTTGCCACAATAAAAAAAAACCAAAAAACACAGGCTTTAAGTCATATGGTTTCAAACAGCTCTTGTATTACTCAATCTGCCCTGGTTATCAGCACATTTACTATAGAGAACTGGTATACATGCCAGGAAATAAAATACACAGTATCTATACAATCATACAATCGTATCATACACAACACTACAATGAAGAAAGAAAGTGAAACCAGAACAATCATATTGGTGCATCTTACAGATACAATCTAAAGACAGGCAATGAATTTGTTCTTTACCACAAATACTTGTCTCGTAGAGGAAAGATCAGGAACATCATCCAAGGAAATACAGAAAACTGCTGTTTCTTACCAAGAAAATAAAAACCATTTTTGTCCAAAATAAAAACATTTTAAAAAGGAAGGTACCAAAAAAGTAAGAACGCTCACCTTTTTCTGTGTGAAGACGTTTAAAGGAGTCTGTTTTTGATAAGCTTGGATCTGAGATGACTTTGGAACCAAGCTTAACTGTCAAGTCTATTGATCGGTATCCTTGAGGGAGCTTACGGTCATACAGCAGAGTCAGAAGCTGGGCAAGTGTCATTTCAGCTGGTAACGGTTGGCCTAAACAACAATGGCATTGAGTCAGAGAGGAAAATTATGATTGGGTTATTTTAACATACATGTCCAGGTGCTGTTCATTACTTGCACCACAGATGCCAAGTAGACTAAGTATTATGTGGCTCCAAACCAAGGACTTAATTTTACCATTTTTTCTCTTGGGAAAAGGGGCCCCATCAGTTTAGAACCAACTATCAAAGAACTATGCCAACATTCCCTAAGGCAGCTCTGTGCTGAGAGCCCAAGCACTTGGCATACTTAACAAATGGCTAGGCTGTAATTCGATGTGCATTTTAAGCAGGTACTGCCTGTCCCCTACTATTAAACCCCAACCCTGCATCACCCTTGAATTGTGGTGGCATAAAAGTGTGAGACTATCAGGTAAAATGGCTGAAGTGGAAAAATATGGAAAACAAAGAAACCTGAAATTCTTTTTCAGTCCTATTAGTCCCAAGCATAGCTCACTACTCTTTGTGCTGGGACACAACTCGGCAAGAAAAAAAATGAATGGCACTGCCAGGAATGCTTTTCTCAGCAGCAACGCAGACTTGAAATGCACGTGCAATACAGCCCAAACTGATTATCCAAATCAAGATTTTGGCCACTCTGCTGTTTATGAAGAATATGTTTTTCCCTGAAATGACAAGTTACTTTCAAGGCAGAACAATTTTTCCCTGATAACAAGCAGACTTACATCTAAAGCGAAATGTTTTAGAGTTGGATCATATAATACACATAGCATACCCATTTCATCTTGACTGTACTTAATCAAGTAACACAAGTTCCAGGAAGGTCTTTAGTAGCAACCTGTTTCTTCAGTGAAAGATGGTGTCTTAAGAAATGAAAATTAAAAATATCTTGCCATTGTGCAAGTGAAGACATTTTCTGCCCTTTTTTTCATCACTGATTCTGCTTTCCATGGCTTTTTTTTTTTGTAACTGGCTGTTGCATGAGACGTGTGATCGACCAGATCACAAATACAGAATGGTCTACAGTACCATTAACAGTCAGTCAACCTTTACCAGCTACATAATGAAACAGACACTGAGTTTCAATCCCTTTTCTAAAATAGTAGCAGTAACTATATCAATTTTAGATATTTTAATCCAGGTATATGATCCCTCTAATAATTGCCAGAGGATAGCTACAAAGCCAACAATTCTGTAGTAAGTTCCAAATTTAGTTTGTTATTTGGCAAAAGTGATTTTCGTCAGAAGTTCACCATTTAATTCCATTAGCTGGTTGCTTGTTTTTATACTATAAAACAGCTAAGAAGCTCTTCTGCATAACACTGAAGTGTTCCACCCATGTTCCTGTCCTTTATCCCTGGTCTAAGGTCAAGAACTCCAGTTACACCAATCTCTCTCCATAGGAGAGATATCTATCTCTGTGCCTCAACTACAACATTGCTACCATCTCTGTCCAGGTAGCTTATAAAATGTGAGTACATATCTGCTATAGATAAAACGTGACTAACTTCTTAAGACACGCTGGGTTTGAAATCACAAGTACTATGGAATTCAAGAATATTCCTGAACTGGCAAATCAACCTTTAGGACAGCAGTGCAAGTTGGCTGCCCACTCAGAACATGAAATAATAGAGCACAAATAACAGTTTACTTCTGCCTTGCAGGTCAAAGAAAACGTGAATCACCTTATAAACACTTTTCAGCCACTGAAAAAGACCATAATTCTGAATTTTTAAAAAAAAATTATTAAAATTACCTGGTAGAAGTTTATGGTATAGATGAAAGACTGGAACACTAATGGTCTTGCTGGAAGATTCTCCTCCTGAGGAAGAGGTACCTACTTTATCCGCCATCACTCTTCCTCGCCTTGATGGTGGACGTGGAGGGGTGGATGAAACAGCTCTTTTTGACTGAGATTTCAAACCTAATACAGAAGTAAAAAATTCAAAGTCATTCTGGTATTTAGTAACTTCAGCCAGCCAAGATGCTCAACTAGGCACTGGCAAATTAAGTATGAGAATAGCATTCATGTATAAAATATATCTGGATGTAATCCTGGTATTTTTACAGTTACAAGGCTGCGCATCCTCCTGAGCCCCAAACATAAAAAAACCGTAACTGTACTACATCATATTGTCCATAAAAAAAAAAAATAAAGTCAAACCCTATTCTGATTTTGCTCTTAAATTTAGTAAAAGAGTCTGTCTAGCAATGGGCCCTACAGGAAAAATTTTTAGGTTCTTTTTTCAGTTCAAAGCAAGAAAGGCAAAAATTTCTAAACTGACAGATATCTCAGCAGGCAAACAATAGATAACAACCACTTGTCTGGCCTACAAAGGTGACTTCAGCTGCAGTACTGACAATAGCACATGTGATGAAAGGTGTCTTCAAACATGCTTCTAAAGTTGCCTATGACAAAATCTTTAAAGTAAACACTACATGAAAACTAAAAGGCAGAATAGGTACATAAAAGTTTACTGAGCTTATATAGCAAGACTGCCATATTTTGGGACAGCTTAAGTTGACTTAAGGTTCAGTGAAATTATACTGCTATCATGTACCCTTCTACGCAGGTGACAGATCAAGTAATAAAGTCAGCAGGTCCATATACAAAGATTCATACAACTACTGCCTTAAAACCAGCCAAGAGCAGCCAGAAAACTAACAACATCCACACCCAAAATGTTGTAATACACTCTGGTTTCAGCTGATCAGTAGGAGCAACTATAATAATCTAATAATCTCAGTATACTAAACTAGCTTGTCTCAGGAAGATCAGGCTCCAAATATCATCTCTATTAATTTTACCAGTAGGGAACAAATTAAAGAGCCAGAGCCTGGCTGTATGAGGCTCTGAGGACACTAAAAACCCACCAGAATATATAAAAACATAAAGACAAAAGAAGAAGATTTCACAAACAGGTAGTAAAAACAAATGCAAATGAATTAGGTTTACATTTAAACTGTTTTACTTAACTGGAAATAATGCAAACAAAAGAAGGAAGAAAAAACTGAAGTCTGCTTTCTAAATAGGGAATGGGCTACATCAGGCAGTATCATCAGAGATGCAAATGGGATGAGATATGGATTACTATACTATGCCCTATCTTTAAGCTCAGTATATTTTTTTTTCTTCCGTGATTCTTTATTCATGTTTTAACTCTTCACTTGGACCTATTAATATTTCAGATCTTACCAAAACATGTCTACCCTGTTTAAGTGACACCTACTGCAAATATCTTTCCAGAGAAAGATGCTGTATAGCTTTAATATATACCAAGATCCATGAAACTGCTGCCCTATACAACACTTGAGTTTAGAGTTATATCTACATCCAAAAACCTGAAATAAAAAGCTTAATATTGGTGCCAGAAGTCAAAAGAAATCAGCATCTCTTCTTCATGCTTCATGAAGTGTAAATGAAATTGAGGTAGCTCAATGAAGGCAGAAAGCTAGATAGGAAAAGGGTAGTTTGAAGTTCATTAATCTCTCACACACCCCAGAACTTCAACCTGAAAGACTAATGATCTTTACAGCCATCATTCGAACAGTAACCTTCTTGTACCACTGCAAAATTACTATCTATGTTCAATCTATAACCTCCATAACAGTTTTGGAGAAGAAGGGTTTACATAAATGATTTCAGAAGGATCTTCACGTTAGTTTTTAGAAGGAGAATGCTTTGGAAGAAAATCCTGTATGTGTGGTTTCCAAGTGGAATAACATGGGTTTATGTTTACATCTCCAGCTGACAGATTTTAGCAGAATACCACCAGTTGTTAGGCGAAGTACATGGAATATTTTATTTCCAAAGAACATTATGGGAGCAGGTTATAAAACTCCAATGCTCCAACCACTACAAAAAGGTAGAGGTAGTAATACCCATACCAGAGTAATAGCACACAAATAACAATATATTCCTATATTATCCAAGCTCCAGGTATATTCCTACAAAATCCTGTAAAATGCACTAGCAACAGCATCTACAACATATCACTGACACACGCATTTAGGTAGAAATTTGTCAAAGTATATAATACGCTAGAGGCAGCAGTTCTACCAGGAACCAATCTTTGCTGCATAACAGCCAGTTAGATTAACTGGGTACTACAAATTTTTTAACCATCATTAGTAATAAAAAGAATTGTGGGTAGATATGATTCTGTTCCCACCACCATTAATGTCAGAAAGATCCATTTTTCAGAAGGTGGAAGAAAAAAAAGCATACCAGAAGCAACAACAACACTATAATTGTCCTGAAATCCATTTTCTGCTTTGACTTTTTCTTTCTCTTCATAGTTCTTTTTTTCTTTATCTTCCTTCTGTTCGTTAATTAGCTTAGCCGTAATACTGGGTGTATCTAAAAGGGGGGAAAAAAAAAGAGGAGAGAAAGGCATTTCAAGATATCAAGTTGATTTTGTTACAGTTTCTAGGATGTTAACAAGGCTATTCTCAACTATTGTAGTGGCTTAGAGTTCCATCCCAGGCAGTAATAGTCTTGTAAATACCCATGAATTAAGGTATTATGATAATTCTGGTCCCCTCTTCCCCCAAAAAATCTGTCCTCTGACAATTTAAAACTGTAACAATTTAAACCATTACCTGATGAGTCAAGCGTATGCATGTTAGAACACCACTGCAACCAACCAAAAAATGAGATTAAACAAAAAATACCAAAAAACACCCCCCCCAAATAAAAAAAAACCCAAATCAAACAAACAAACCACCACAAAAAACACTAATCAAAACAAAAAACCCCCAACAACACAACAACAAAAATACCAAATCTTTTTTAAGGACACCTGCAGACTTATTTAAATAAATTGTTGTTTTTGGGTCTGAGTATCTAGCGTTATATACTGACTCAATTTCAGAAATGGCAAGCATGATTGCTCTTTTGAAATTGGAAGATACCTAAAGTACATTACGCATTCACAACTTGTGCTGTTTGCTTAACTGAACAGTAGATTACTGCAGTTCAACAAAATGTAGATCAGAAATATCAGCAAGTAACTATTAAATTATTGATTACTGGTGCCAATGGACCAATTCAACCTTGTAAGGTACAACACTGGCACCAAGATGGCCAAATAATTCTCTAATGGCTTCTGAGTAGTAACTTGTTTCCACATAGCCACAGCAGCCTTAAGCTATAACCACAGACTGAAGACCTAGAAGTACCATCCAGCTACCTTTAATTGTATATCACCAGTTGGTGAGGTGCTGAAAGAGATATGGTTTGACCTGCTTGGAAATATATTATGATTTGTGCCTGAAGACATTGGTTATGTCTATGTTAGACCATAGTGTGCAGACCAAAAGCAGATACAGAGTGTGAAACTGCTGCTAATGAAGACCCAACATGCACACACACACTCTCTCTATATATATCTTTTTTTTTTTTCAGACTGGGTGTTCTCTTTTTAAAAAATTATTATTATTATTAGATTTCAGAGCCGCTCTACTTTGGCCCTATGGACTGAATGCCCATTTATTGCTGAAGAATTTCAAGGTCATTAATAAAATTATTAAGCAACCTAAGCAATGGTATTTTTAGTACTCAGGTAATACTCAGATTTGTTGCTCAATTTTTCTGACCAGCCAAGACCAGTAACTTAAGACTAAGGTGAGTGAAATACAAAACAACTGGTACTCATCCTAGACAATCCTATCTGCAGTGACACTGCACATTTTCTTCCTATGATGAAGGGATATGAGTATAGATTTAGCAATAATTTTAGACATCCATCCCTCCCCTTTTTTTTTTTAAGGGCTGGGAGAAGAAGTATGAAATCAACATGCTTATTGTGATTTATTTTTGCAGAAAGTATGACATGATCAATTTGAGATGTTAACAGTGTAGTTAAGAAAAAAGAAGTTAAGCCAAGGGACAGCCTCCAACACAGGATGGATCTTCACGACTTCCTTCTGTTGCAGCAGTCACAGCCTTTTCTTCCTTTCCACCCCCAGTCCATCCCTTCTCTCCCCCTGTCACCCAAAACACAGTTTACTTCTCACACATTCAAGTCTTCTTCAGTATGTCCTAACCATGGACTTCATGGAATGATATACAAATATCACAAAGCTTTTTAATACAATCAGAGAAATCGCATCAGATGATGGAAGGAAACCTGAACTTTTCCAGAATTAATTCTTTTAATTTAAAATGAAAGTTAAGCTGAGGAATACCAATTCCATAGCAAAATCTCAAAGTTATGATGCCCTACAAAGTCAGCATTTCATCAATTTCAGTTATAGGCATTCCAGTACACCACATCCCCTCCCCAGTGCCCATTAGCACTGGCTATCAAGTTGACTGCAATACACCACTAAGGCAGCTATGTAGTACAGTTTATGTCACTGCTCAACAAATGATCCCTACCTCACTTGCAGTGACTATCCCACCCATTACAGTAATTCTGACAGTAAGTCAGTAAGTCCAGTAAGTCTGGACAGTAAGTGAATACTGAATAATTCTATCAGAAATAGTAAACTACTCCCTGGTAAATAAGCTTCAAGCATTTTTCTAGGCTCCAGTATTTTTTTAATTGAAATCCCCAAACACATCTTGTTCTGTCTAGTATTCTGCCAAATACCATTACAGTAATTCTATCAGCTTGTTAGGTAACATTTATTGCCCTAAGGAATGTGATAATAATTTCAATGTAAAGAATTTCAGTAGATATAAAAAAGTTGGTCTAAACTCCACAAAGATCTGCTTCAGAAACTAAAGTTGATCTACACTGACTTCCACAAAAATTACACATATAAATATATCTATATATATGGGAACATATATCTAGTCAGATACATATGCAGCTAAGTGCACATCTGCAAAATGGGAAAATTGCTGTGATGATCTGTGACTTTTTTTTTTGCTATTACTGAGAACCACATCGTAAAGAGGAATTGCCGGAGGTTTCCCCCGCCTTTTTTTTTTTTTTTAATTAGACATACATAAAACTGATTTTTGATGTAATAAGACCCAATAAATTTTGGTCTATTTCTCACTTGAGGAGAATAAACTTGCATCTTGCCTGGTTTTACCTAGAGAGCTCTGGCATGGACATGACACCTTTAGTATAGAATCACAGAATGGTTTGGGTTGGAAGGGACCTTAAAGATCATCTAGTTCCAACCCCCCTGCTGCAGGCAGGGACACCCTCCACTAGACCAGGTTGCCCAAACCCCCATCCAACCTGGTCTTAAACACTTCCAGGGACGGGGACTCCCCAACCTCTCTGGGCAACCTGTTCCAGTGCCTCACCACTCTCACAGTAAAGAATTTCTTTCTAACATCTAATCTAAATCGACCCTCCTTCAGCTTGAACCCATTACCCCTTGTCCTGTGACTACACTCCCTCGTAAACAGTTGACAGGCTGGTCAACAGAGTCCCCCACAGAGTGGTTCATCTCTCCATGTGTTTTCAAGTAGTATAACTGGAAGTACTAAACTTTAAAAAAACTAACAAATAAATTCACACCTTAACATTATCCTCTCATTGTATATAATTTAAAAATTAATCTTTAAGAGTAAAGTACTGTTTTAAATCTCCATTTAGTAAGCAAACTCAAATGTTCATATAAGAGACAAATGCATAACCGGAGAAATTAGATGGAGCCTTCATTAATGCTTTTTTCGTAGCAACATGATTTCACCTTCTTCTTGAGATAAACTTTTAAAAGTTCCAGGATATTTAACTGACATAATTTGGGAATATTTAACTGGATGAAAGGGTGTGTTAAAGACATTTGCAGCATCATTTGTATGGTCTCACAAATATCCCACAAGAGATTTGTGAAGACATTAACAAAAGCCCCAAAACAACCAACCAACCAACCAACCCCCAACTAAACAAAAAAAGGAATGAAAGAAAAACCTCACCTGAATGTTTTATATGGAAAAAACAGTATTTGACCAGTAAAAGTGCACTTTACATGGAACATGTGAGGCATATGCAAAAGCTTACAACTTAACCCACTGTTTCATATTCGGCAATTATCAATGAACAGTGCAAATATGTATGTTAGACATACTTGGTTCATGCGGGTTTTTTGGTTTTGGGGTGGGTTTTTTGGGTTTTTTTTGAAACTGTATCTTAAAAAATAAAATATGAACTATTGCAAACTTGCCTGACACACGATCAAGAACCTCTGCCAGAGTTGTTGAGACAGGCAAGTGAAGAGTACGAAATTTGTGTCCAGCTCCATACATTGGATGTTGAATTACATGACTAGTAGCATTAATTCTACCTTTGTACAGCTGAAAGGAAAACAAGAAGTCAACATTTAACATGACTTTAACATGCAGAAATTAGTTTAAACACTAAGTTCTTATAAAGTCACCTCAGCAAAATAAAGCTACACCTTATGTGTGCTAAAAACCATAACTGACATATCCTTCAACTTTGGAAGCATACAGTAAAAAAAGCATCAAATCAGGACTAGTTAAACTTTTTAACTCAAAAGAATTTGCTCCAAAAGCCTAGAACTTTTTTAGGATAAGAAACAATACATTTGTTTTTAAAAAACCCAATCATTTTAGATACCTGGATATGAGAGAAAAATTGAGTGTCTGAGATTTGCAATTATTTATGAAATTAAAGCTTAATTCTGAGCTGTGTTCGCATGTTGTATCACTCATGGCTTGCAGTAGCTCCCAGCATCTGGAGGACTGTTTACTAATATTTACATACAGAACCAATTTATTTGTATGCAATATTATCAAACTTAATAATGACGACAATCAGAATTTATCTTATAAAATACCATTTGGTTAAGAAGTTAAGAGATAAAAATGGGGATCCAATCTTTGAATAGTTATGTTGTTGGATATACTAGAAGTATATGCTACACGTCCACATTATTTTTAAGATTTCTTGCTGCATGTTAGAGGAGGAATCATCTTCTCAGTAAGAACAGCCAGATTGTTTCCTGGTGGTTTTAATAGGAGAAACTTCTATTCAAGATATTCTTTCTGCTTTTACATATCTAGTAACGTTCTGTAAAAAGTGATTCTAGGTAAAACAAATTATTAGAAAAATTGATGTTACTTTTACATTATCAATGGCCATGTTAACAATTCATCTCAGGTTAAAACAAAACATTTAAATGTTTGTGCTAAAACTGTATTTGTTCTTCCTTTTCCTTTCCATACTATATGATCCAGTTTCCCTGTCATATATCTCATGTAGTACTTCTGAGATGTAGCAAGAACAGCAGAAACGAAAATAGAATTTTTTTTTTTCCTTGTATGGGAGTATCAGATCCTCTAATGACTTCTGTTTTTCCTTTATTTCTTTATTTACAGCCTTCAGTTGAGAGCATAGCACTTCAGTCATTAATTATAAATGTGTTCTGGTAAAGTATAACAGCATACATCTGCTTTATAAATCAACTCAAGTATTTGTCACTCAAGACAAATTCATGGTGTTCTGGCTAACACTGAAGGATCTCTGTCAATCTTGAAGCATCAAAACTACAACTGTTCCTCAATGAAACTGATAATGAAGAACTGCTGGAAGGACTAGAACTTGTATCTGTATTTGCTGCCAATGCATAAAGACACTATTAAAAAGTCTGCAATAACATAAATTTCAGTTGTCAATTCTTTCAGAAGCAGTATATTTTCAACAAGATGTCTTTATCTTAGAATAGTGCCTTAAATTTTCTTTTAAAGTGCTGAGTTACAATTCACCAACACATTTCTTTCCAAAATTCCGCAACACATACAGTGGCAAAAGCTGCTGTCTAATATTTCAAAGTTGAATATACGCTGATTATTTTATTGGGGTTTTTTAAGGCTAAATTTATTCCATGTTCACCATATGGATAAGAAAAATTCTTACTGGACATGGAGATTGAAGAAACAAAGTCACTTTTTCATCTTCTAGCATTAGCTGCAAAAAAAGCCTCCTAATAAATCCTGAAATATTTCCAGAGGTTGGGAGGTTCCCACGCTGAGGAGAGGCCTGGAACAATTCACAGAGAACCTGGGAATGCAAGATGACATCAGATTTAAAGTACTTCTATATTTAGGCCTCTAAAATAAAGCTCTACACAGCCATAATAGGCAGTGCCTAAGGTCTACCTTCCCGTTATCATTTAAACCAGATCAGAAATGAGCACCACTGAAGTAAATACCAGCAGCAAATAAGCAAATAATAACCTTTTTTTTATAAAAAGTTTCAAAACATTGAGTAAGCATCAAAGTAATTGTAAACACATAACTACTCAAAAAGATAAAAACCTGAAGATAAAGTATTTAGAAAAATAATTTTCAAATTCCTAAAGCAAAAATTTCCCACTGCATAATACAGTATTACTGCCAGCCATTAACAGAGAACTGTACTGAGTTTTTTACTCCAGCCTACCTGTTCCCAGGGCACTGTCATTCTTGATGTTGAAAAACAAAAAAAGTCTTTCTTTAATTATACTTTTATTCAACTAGGTCTGCAAGGTTAACAAACATAAGGAAAGTAGCTGAATTTGCACTAGAATGTCAAATGCAAAGCCGTATTTTGCAATAGCCTGTATTTCCCCGGTCACCAATTGTGCAGGGTATATAGTTGTGCAAGCAAATTTAGCAGGAAATCTCCTTAAGTTACTAATATAAAAGATGTGTATGAAGCTTGATTTCCAAATACCATTTCAGAAGAGTTTAGACCTATCCAATTAAATACAGTATTTTGCATTTTGATCTGAAGTTTATTCCACTAAACCAAGAGGAATACAAATCTATACATAGGACTGGACAGCCATGCCAAAACATTGTTATACTTTGAAAAGTCAGACCAATAAGCTAACAATTCTAACACAAAACTTTTCCAGTCAATGACAGCTTACAAAAAAAATTATTTTAAAGAAAGCTAAAAAAAAAAAAAAAAAAAAAAAGTAAAAGGTTTTAAAAGTTGGCTGTAGTTATTAATAAAGAAATTAAAACTTTTTTTTTTTCTCTCTCACCTGTGCCATGAGTCTCTGGTTATTAGGATGGCAAGAAATGCATTGTAAGAAGAAAGCAACCGTTGCATTTTCAATTGCTGTCCGCTGCTGAGTGGTCAACCCTGTTGTTACAGTTGAAGAAAGCAAGCTAGATCTTGCACTGGTCTGTTGTGCCGTCACATTGTGTCCTCCAGAAGTAGCACCAGAATGGCACAACAGAAATAAAAGTGCTGTCCACAGTGGATTGACTTCAGAGCCACCCAACCAATCCTTCATCATGTGGCTGTTGCCAACTTCTGTCAAAAACCTGAGAACAGGAGCAACCAGGTCTGCCGTGATAGGCATTTTATTAAAGTGCTGTGGAACATGATGCCTCCTGAGCCTGTCCTGGGTGATATCCGTTGATTGTGCAGTGCAGTCAGAGCTAGAAGTATGGTTAAAGCAAAAACTAGCAAGACTTCTTACAAGCAGTGAAGGCAAACCTGAGTCCAGTAATTGCTTGATAGCTTCAGGAGACTGAGATGAGGCAGCAAGAGTAGCCAGGTGAGACTCTGTTAGTGCAAGAGGAGCTTGTGCGTTTTTAGAGTCATCTGTTAAAGATGAACTAAGGTCCTGCTTTTTGCTGTCATCAGTCATGGACAGTCTGTGTTGACACTGCATTGGAGGAGGAGTGATACCCATCCATCCCATGAGCAAGGAAAAATAATTTGGGTGGATGTGGCACATTGAGCAAAGCAAACTATCAACAGCTTTCTTCAAAACCATGTTGCAGGGAAGAGACATGGACCAGTTAAACAGTGACCTGTAGAAGACAGAAAATCACGTCAACACAGTTTGCCACTCCTATTATTTTCTTCATTGGTTCATAAAACATCCTTCTACATTTACAATTAACTATTGTAGAAGCTGTTATTAAAAACACTGAGCTGAGCCTGAAAGCCTTGTTTGGATCACATTATCAGCAGGACATTCATTACCCAAAAGGCATTTCTCAACCCTACATTCAAATTTCTTTCATCGTACTATATTTAAAATAGTAATAAGCTGACTTTTCGGACATACTGCACGTGAAACATAGGATTTCAGTCTTTTGACAGTTGTCATATAAATTATGCATTTTTGAACCAACTGTAACTTCTTCGTGCTTTCAACTCTCCAAACTGCAGCTACTAGGATCACACACACATGCTCTCATTTACATAAAGCTCTCAATCCTTTTTAAGAACTGAAAGTATTTTAAATAAAATACTTTTTAAAAGTATATTAACATGCTTCCAAAATTTTTTAAAAAATTTATTAAGAGTTTTCCCTAAAGATGTTGCAAAAAAACGAAAGCAGCAACAATCTTGGTTGAATGTTGTTGCCCTCACTATCCTTACTCAACCTGAACTTAGGACACAAGTTAACAACAGAATTATTCCTCAGAGATACTAGAATCCCACCTACCTTTGAATTCACTTCCACTCAAATACTATCTGTTTCCACATGAATGCAAAAGCTAATTTTGCTCCTATTATTCAGCTTAAATTTCAAAAGTGGTATTTGTAAAATAGTGAAATCATCACTTCTTCATACTGACTTGTTCAGAGTAGGCAAAGTATTTAAAAAAACCCAACTCCACGGTTTTCTGAACTGCATTCACAGTACCATGACACCGTAAGTCACATTATCGTAACGTTTACACACAGAGGTGAACACACACTTTGTGCCACTTCGATCTTAGTTTTTTAAATAAGTTTGGATGTATCATCCTATATCACATTCCCATTTGAAGACAAGGATTGTTTTTTCCCCTCTTCTGGGTGAAAGTCTTATTCTGTATTTAGTCTAAGGGACTCTAAAAGTTTAGAACAGAACATGGGTCTAACCAAAAGTTAGCTTTATCACTGGCCTAGTGAATGGCCGATAAAAAAAAAAAAAAATCCTTTCTCCAAGAGAAAACATTAAAAAGTCATTTAAGTGACCCAATGACCCATAACTTTGGGAAGACAGTCACAATTTCTCAAAGTCCACATATAATAAAGGTACACTTAAACTCTACTCCAACTATATATTTCTACAATTCTTTTGCCAAATTTTTCTGGGTAAGTTCATGGTCTATGAAAAATAAGACTTTTTTCCAACTAGATATTAAAAAAAAACTAAGGAATAAATTAGTATCCATTGGCCAAAGCAGAAATATCAAAATGGAAAATGGGGATGATAGGAAAATACATCCAAGAAAAAAGTAAAATATCACATGAAGGAGAAATTAGGAGTTATAGCTAGAATCAATGAAAATATTTCAAAAGCTAGAATATCAAATAAGATCAAGAACACACAAGAGTTATTTTTATTAGAGGAATTATTTACCCTTATAGAAGGATTGTTGTCAGACTTATATTTATTAAAAATGTATTTTATAATTTGCTCCAGATGCTGGCTGATATGAATTATAGTTTTATTTGGCAGAACATAGAGGAACAAGGCTATATTGCAACATACATACTCAAACTAGGTACAATTTCGTCTTGTGATGAAAACAACATTCTCTCCTCCAAAAGACAGGAATTCAGTTGTAAACCCCACTTTTATACTAATATAAATCTAAACGGGCTATCCATTTTAGGAAGTTTATTTTTATTAGATTTCTCCCTTTTCAAATATTAGAAGTGTTAAAATCCATCCTGAAAATGTATTTCTGTTAAAACGTATTCCTGAAAGGACCAACTGACCTGCAATTTAAAATCCTTACATTGATTCCCCAAATGAACAAGCTTATTTTGAATTAACAAAGGTGAGGTGAGGCACTGGAACAGGTTGCCCAGAGAAGCTGTGAATGCCCCATCCCTGGAAGTGCTCAAGACCAGGTTGGATGAGGCTTTGAGCAACCTGGTCTAGTGGAGGGTGTCCCTGCCCATGGCAGGGGGGTTGGAACTAGATGATCTTTAAGGTCCCTGCCAACCCAAACCATTCTATGATAGTATCACTAAAGTGTCTTTGGAAAAGGTCTAGCTTGTACTCAGGTATCTAAAGACCATCATGTTGTGCATATAGAAGAGCTCCATATACATGTACCAACAACCGTAACTTCTACATTTCCCAGTGTTTGACTGTTTGTGCCTAAAGACGACAGTAAGGTAGCAGAAAAATATGAACATTTCCGAAGGGCAACAAAGAAATTGTGCTATCAAAGTTCCTTTCATAAACGGGCATTTCATTCATTGGTACAAATGAAAGATTCTTTACTAGATACAGGAATTTAACAGCTATATTTCTATAATACACATGAAACAGAGCTATTAAACACAATTATACCTGAATATGTGAAGTGCAGTTTTGTGTTCAGAATTACAAACCTACCTGTTTAGGTATCTTTAAGTATTCACTCTATCAATTAGCTTCAGGGATGACAATTTCCACTACTATTTCACAATGACTGCACTTAAAGTCGTATCATTTCAGTGAACAAAATAATTCAGTTATAAAAAGTATGCAGTGCAAAATTTTGCTTTACTTACTCAAAGAGCTCTCTGTCCAGCAACGCTGGTAAATCATATTCAACAAGCAATTCATAACTATGCCACAAAATCGCTGCTACACAATGCAAATGGGAAGGAGATGGCATCAGAAGACCATACTCTCTCGTTGAGCTATTTGGACAAATGTAGCTGACCCGGCCACTTTTTTTCATAGCTGCAACTCTTGCGGAATCGCTGACCCATTTCAGCAATGCTTGAATTCTGGAAGGCAAGATGATGTAGTACATTATAAAGGGTCAAAGAAGCACTCAAAACCAAATTAGGTGGCTGTCTTTTAGTAATCTGATTTACACACTTATTTTCTCCTTTGAAGTAAAGTTCAAGAGTAAGCTCCAACTATTTCTTCTCAAGACTTAGATCACTAACAGGGGAAAAATGAATTAAAACCACTTATCTTGGACAGACAAATGTACGCTTTCTTGCTAGACAGGAAGAAAATATAGCAGGTATTTGAGTATTTGAGAGAAAACTCAGTTGAACACTAGAAGTTTTTTTAGATTTGTAAGAGTAAAAAAGAGGGACAGCATTCTCTGCAAAAGATGCAAAGAGCTAGGAGGGAAAGCTTCTTTAGGTTTCTGCACTTTCAGGCTATCTCATAACAGATTTTTTAAAATCTGGTTTTGTGCAGTAACATCAAGCCACTATTTAGGAGATTATTTTTGTATACATTTCCACATGACAATCCAAATAGCATTACCTATCTTTTGTTCCAGGGTCTTGAGTTGTTCCAAGCTGATAAAGAATGTCTATTGTGGAGTCAGAAGAGAGACCATTTAATCTTCCAAACAGTAAAGGGCTATTCAGATCTTGCCGCATTCAAAAAAAAAAAAAAAAAAAGGAAGGGAAATAATAGAAGTACTTATATATGTATTTTTTAAAAGTACTAATGAAATTATTACAGAATTGCAACATTAACATTGAATTGGGTTTTGCCATTAAAATAAGGATGCAATTCTTATACACACCACTGTCTCAAAACTGTACATTTTGTATGTTCAATGCAATGTTCAGCCTTTAAAAGGAAAAATCATTGCAACATTCATCAGACACAGGACTTAAAGATTTAACTAGCACGATTTTCTTCAACATATTCCAAAAAGATGTAACTAATTCCAATAGAGCTGTCAAACCTCATGCTTCACAGAAGCAAACATTTACTTCATAATGGAAGCTTATTTAACTCCAATTTCCATCAATGGGACTAAGGCCGATGATTTCCTCAGATTATTTCCTATTCATCTTCTCCTTCCTGTCTTCATCTCCTGCCCTGTAGGAAACTACTCTCCTATCTAACAGCATTCCAGGAAAAAACAGTAGGCTACACTGAAACACTAACTTGTGGCCAAATAAGTCATGAAAGCCATTTTGAGAAGAGTGCTTTCTGTCAGTGTCAGTAACTTCAAAATGGGAAAAATAAGAATTCAGTTTTCTTTCATTTAAAAGCCACAAAACAGCAAAGCAAAGTGGTATGGAATTGTAAATAAAAAACCTCCAGTGCATTAACAGAAGAGCTACTGCAAAATTTCATTGTGGGACACAGATTAGTAGTTCAAGTGTCTTGATTATATACCTCTACCTGTAAATATTTTCAACATTTAGTGCTACTCAGAATTTATACTGTCCCACAGACTATTACTGCCCAAATATTGCTGCACTTGTTTTCCTTAACACTACTCATGGATGGTCTTTATTTTGAAACATCTAGACATAGATCCATGGTCAGATGCTCACACAATATATTGCACGTTCCGCTCTCATGTCTCCAAAACATTCACCTAAACATCTCTTCTACACAAAAATCAAAACAACCCTTGTTGCACCGCTTTACTGTTGTTGAACTACCCACATACAAAGACTGTGATACTTAGAAGCATAACAAAGTACAACGGCAAGTTCTAGCAATCCAAATTCAGAATCAGAAAGTAACATGCAAATATACTATATTTGTACATTTATACAATCAATGTTTTTAAGCAACAACTGAAAAGAAAAACATTGCACTCACCTGCAGGATCGCTCCCTGATGCCGAGCAGTTTCTTAGAAGAATGTCAATCAATTTTAGGCCTATTCTGGTGGACTGAAGCCCAATTTTTACAAGCACAGCCTCAATGTTGGGAGAATGCATACCACAGTAAGGTGACATGAGTAAAGCAGCACATGTCTGCAACAGATTAGCAGTGGGTGCTGCAGCACTAGCCATCATTCCTTCTAAATCACTTATGTGAGTGAGGCAGTGGTGTAATAATCTTAACCATCCAATACTGAAAAGGAAAACATGAAAATGAGCTAATGTATAATTTTCTTATTATTTTATTTTTCATTTATATATAAGTACCTGTATTAGATTCTACGACAAGTACCACAGAAAACTGCTGCGACATGATCAGACCTCATCTGAGAAAAGCAAATTAAAGTGCTAAATTTAAGACCACAATGCATTAGCAATGCTGTTGTAATCACTGGTTTAAGGTTGTAAGAAAGGCAGGGTCTGTGGGTAGGAAGTGAAGAGCCTGCAAGTTTTATTACAAAGGGTCTGAAGATTTCTTGATTCACATACCTATTTCTTCCAATAGGGGCAACCTACTGGGGGGGGAAGGTATTTATATAGGTGGAAGGTAGTGGGGGAGGGCATGTTGGGTTTTTTGGTGTTGGGTTTTTTTTACATTAAAAGGAGCTGGCCAAAACATAAATGTGAAACATGAAACAGCACACTACCTCACTTAGGCACCATTGGATTTATTAATATTTAAGGTCAAGTTTCTGCAATAGTGGTTGAAATTATACACCTGCACAGCTTCCCTGACATAACAAACTTTTAGGGTCATACACATCTACAACAGATTACAGTGAACCTTAGAGAACCTGATTTTAAAAGTACTCAGAAAAAGTGCAGAAATAAAAAATTTGTTAGTCACTGCATTTCCCTCATGTCTCTCTCATTCTTTAACAATATCATTCAGTATTCCTTTTAATAATAAAAGCTTGAAAAGTAAACTTATTGTCATTAAATCAATGTGGAAGCATATTAAACTAGACTTTATTTATAAAAAATATTCTACAATGCTGTTTAAACAAGGTGGCAATCTGAGCTGCATGTGAAATAAATGGTATCATTTCACTGAAAAGTTCTGAACTATGAGGTTAACTCATTTTCACAGCTAACCTTATAGTTCAAAAAAAAGGTAAACGTGCATATAGATCTTAAATGAAGTTTACACTTTTATTTTAGGAATAATTTACTCCTAAATATTTATCATTTTAGAAAAGAGCAAGTTTTCTGTTGTGTCTAAACCAAAATTATAACCAAGTTTATTGAATATATCTATCATATTACTACCAATACTTTATTGAGATACTTATAAAACTAAGCTGAAAGCCACAATCAAACATTTCAAGACACGAAGAATGCACACTGACCTTCTTTCTTTAGATACTGTCTTTAAGATAACCTTTTCTGAAGTACAAATATATCAATAGTATAGTTTGGCTATGAAAATTAGCTTCTCTGCTATTCAAGATCAATTTCAGTTATACAGCTTTTATCAAATATACACTGGACAGTATTCATTTACTCACACTCTCAAAACTTTTCCCAGCAAAAGAAGAAAAGCTTTTAAAACTTTCCCATGCTCTCTTTTCAAATTTATAAACATTTAGGTTGAAAGATGAAATATATCAAAGTGATGATTTTTTACAATTTAGTAAGCTAAATTTCAGAACTAGGATATCTCAAAAGTTCACACATTAAATTAAATTCAAAGTTGGAAAACTTTAACATTTATTTTTTTAAATCCTAAAGGTTTTATTCATTTTTATTTTAAAAATGACTACAAAACTCAAGATGCCACCTAACAAAAAAAAAAAAGCTTTTGAAAAGAAATCTTGCTGATATGCCAGAATCACAACATTCAGTTCCTATTTTGCAAATGTTCGCAAACAGCAATATTAGATACGACTTCCACAAAACACCCCATTGTCCTATTTCTATTCCTGCGCCAATACTTATGTAACTCTGTTGACTTCAGTAAGGATAAGAAATGTGTTGCTATTTCAGTTTGACAACTGTTGACCCATTAAAAACACAGAATGCAACTCTGAATGCTTCCTCGCCTTTGTATTCTTTCACCACTGCAGAGATGAAAGACCCCCTTTTGCATATGCAGATTAAGCATGCTACCAAAAAAGCGGGTATTGCTTATATTTGCCTTCTGTAAAAAAAGGAGAAAAAAAAAAGGAGGCAAGTTTTCTATTTGAAACAGATTCTGTAAATGTTATAACTCAACTACAAAAACAGGTACTCACGAATACAGTTTGCTACTGCAAGATCTGACTCAGAGCGGGAAATATCACTAAAAAAAGACAAAACCATGAACCAGCAGGAACGTGCCTCTGACCACTGAGACTGGAAGCTTACCTTGTTTTAGAGACCTGATCCTCAGAGGGAAGGAATGGATTATTGACGGTGGCAGATGAGGTGTTTCCGAAGGCGGTGAGGCCTAACAGTTTGATTTGAGAGAGGCCTAGTGTACTGGCATCCCGAGGACGATGGAGACGGAGGCAGACAGCTGAGGCAACTTCAGCTTTTACCAGCTGGATTTTTATATATGTGAGACCGCTTGTGATAACGGGAGTTGACAAAGGTAACATATTGACACCATCTGCACTTATTTCAACAGATACTGATGAAGGGCAAGCTACAAAGTAAGATAAGAAGGTTTAATACTATTTAAAAATCTATACTGATTTGAATTTTAAGTGTTAAACATGCATTCCTGTTAAAGATACAGAACAAGATGACTGAAATGATCTTAGGCAAACACTACTACACAGCTGCAGCATTTGACCTGTGCAATGGCATATGTTAAAATGCGTCAGTACTTTGACACACGGTGTATAGAGTTTATTTCAAAGACTTAAGAAGAAGAAAAGTCCTGTCAGTGTAAGTGTCGCATGTTCCCATAGCAGGGTTATGACAATAAAAGCCAAAAATCTCATGCTTTGTTCCAACTACCATACAAAACCATTTTGCCTGAAGACCCCTGACCAATATCACATTCTCACTAGGGAAAGCTTTGAGCCGTTGACAAGTTTTTTTGGCCTATTTAAAGTTAATGCCACAAAACATGTACTGAGCTAGAAGAAATCAAGCAGAGGCAGGGCCTTCCATTCTCGAGGAAAGCAGAATTAGCAAGCTTTTCAACTTCTTTTACAGGCATTCTTCAAACAACCTGTCAGCTCTAGTTCCTCTGATCACACTCTTTGTACCATTTCTAAATACTACTATCCTTCAAATTTTCAAACCAGCATCAATGTCAGTGAATCTACTTACTCGCCAGAGAGGCCAGGTGAGGCTGGATGTGGATCTCCTTGAGCAGCACGGCTGCAGGAAGGTGGATTGTGAGGTCACACCAAGCTTCCTCAGGTAAAAATATGTATGACCATGCAGCAGAGCGAGCTCTTCTGTGGGGAGGAGTAGCCTGTAACAGCACTTCAGCTGGCTGGGCAGTGGGACTGCTTGAGGTGATGGAACCTTCAAAAACAGCACCGTTAACATTGATTATTAATGTTTATTAATAAATCCCAGATTAATTTACAATCTGAACTGTGGAAAACACCTTTTTTTTTTCCCTATCTCACCTGTTTTGGTTTATCAATAACAACCCACGTGTAATAATGACAACTGCAGAGGTATTTTTCTTTTACTCTTAGACTGTTTTACAATAGGCAGTTTACATATCCACCTGCATATGCACGTGCTTGGAAATTTGCTAGGAGACACTTGCTACCAAAGTCTTAAACTTTCTATCAAGAGTTTATTGGAAAAATAAACCAATCAAAAATGTGCAAGTTGAACCATATGCTTAGAACTTAACTTAGATAATTCATACTTAACATAATGAAGGCTTTAAAGGTTTAAATATTGCAATAATAATATGAACAACTTTATAATGGAAGTCTGCAAACCTTTTTCTTTAAAAAGGTTTGTTTCACATGAAAATCTTTTTTTAAAGGCACTAGGAAAAAAAATCCTGACCACAGCAGCCCCTTATTTTTCTAATCTTAGCATGAGTTAAGCACAAAGTAGGAAGATCTTCTAGGCTGTCTTCTTTAGCAAGTTGTATGGCACAACAAGACCAGATTTGCACTGTTCAAACTCCAGGTACTTGGGGTATTTTACTTTACAGCAGCTCTACCCTGGCCCAAGACTGAATGCAGAGTAGTAGCTGGACATCTTTTGACAGACTTTCATCCCAAATGAATCGAGTTCGTCTCTCAGAGAACACTACATGATGAGAATCAGAGTGTAGTAAGTGAGGACACCCAAAAGGTTAATTTCAAAAGCACACTCCTGACAAAGTAAAAAGATAGATGCACTCATAGCAAGCACTTTGCAATTTCTGAGATAAGACATGCAAGAACCTACCACCATACATGCTTAGGATTTTTACTAAAAGTAATCAAGTACTGACATTTGCAGGATTCTTAAATTTACCTTTTCAGAATTTGTGAAGAGCAAGGTAGAAGATTTCTAATGGACTCCTATTCTGCCAAATAAACTTTTTTTTTTTTAAATTTCATTTCATTATTTTTGACACTCTTAAATTTGAATAACAGAACTGCACGGATTTCTCTCGTCCAACAATTTTTCCAGAAATTTTAAAAATAATCCTTTTGTTCTCCCCTCTTGACAGTGAGACACACTGTATGAATACATTCATGGGCTACACTAGGCTAGTGGGCAGCAACAGAAAACATTAAGACACTAGTGGTGAAAAGGAGCCTTTGTAAGATATTAGAGTACATCTACATCTTAAAACACATGCATTTTAGTAATACTGAAACAGCATTGCAATTCTAACAAACGTTCATGCAGGCAACATCGGAGCAATTAGGTGCATGTGGGACAGCAGCAGCAATACCAGCCCCATCCAGCTTCTGCTGCTCTGTTTGACCTAGCTCAGGCTCACTCTGTGTCATTCAGCTTTGCTATGCTTCTGTAACAGCCCCATCAAATCTGATGTGCCTGAAGTGAAGTCAGTGAGTCCTAGTGTGCCTATGGCAGATGGTGGGCTGGAACTGGGTATCCCCTGACCTAGAGAGGAAGGAAGTAGCCCACCTTGATGCATGACTACATCAGATACAGATCACTCCCTTTCCTTCCTTCCCCTATCCACAAAGGTCTTACTATCTGTGGAGCAGGGGCTACCTTCCTCCACCAACATCATCTTGAAACACCAGCAACCCCTCTGTTTAGGAGATTTAATAGTATTGCAACATTTGACACTATCACAAGATTTCTTGTTAAAAACTTGATACAGATTCAAATGACCAGTGGATACTAATATAAGAGAAAGAAGTATTACTCACCCAAAGGCGCAAAATTGTGAATTCCTTCTGCGTTATCAGGCTCAGAAGCTAGCACCCTAGCTTTCAAACTGCTGTCTGTTGCTTTGGTGGGACCAGAGTCAAGAAATTTCATAATAGTCGAAACCATACTTCTCGCTGTGTTAACAATAGCTCTTGTGCTTGTTACCATGTTGTTACAAATAAGCTGAACACCACCTGTGTATAATGTGGGCAGGAGGGCGGAAAAAACAACACCTTTCAGATTCTAAGCAAGCAAAGGCCTATTTAGTAAGTTTGCTCCTCCAGGCACATATCTGTATTCCTTAAGTGCCAAAAAATTTTTTTACAATAAACCTTTTACTTGACGCAGCTAAAGAAAAGATATCCTTACCCATATCATGGAAAGCCTTCAGTGCCTCACTTGTATCCAACACTCGTAAAATGAACCAGAGCAGTGGCTCAGATAACTGACAAGTGGCGAGAGAACCCTAGAAGTTAAGAAATACATAGTTTCATGCAAAATTAATATGACAGAAATATTCATTAGTATCCCCTACTAGCAGGCAAAAATTCCAGAGAGGAAATGCCACCATAATTTACTGCAAAATAACAGTATCATGCTCCATATGGTTCACTCCTACGTAGCAGAAGTCTTTGTGATAAGGAAAAGATCAAACTACCAGGGTAAGCAGCTGAAGGGAAATAAGAATACCTACTAATATGAACACAATAAATGTGCTTCCCACCTGAACATAACAACACATTCAATCTATCTTCAAGCTTTTAGCCAGGAACATTTAGGGGAATGTCAAAATGTCCTTACAGAGACTCACACTCTCCATCTACCATGGGCAATGGAGAGAGGCTTCCTAACTTCAGCACCAAAGTTCAGTGAGATGAAGATGAAAAATGTTAACATTTCTTTTACGTAGCACTAGTTCAGTTTTCTGAGCTTATTATAGATTACAGTATCAACTAAGCTATAATTCACTTGAAGCACAGCAGACAGACCTAAGGGAACTTACCTGTCTTCCCATGTACCCACAGGCCATGTAGGTAAGAATTGGCTGAAGCATGACTTGCACTGTTGTTGCTTTTTTACTAAGTGTTGTCAGGATAGTGAACAACCCATCGCCAACTGATATTGCATCCAAGCCACCGTGAAAGTTTTCGTGCTTAGTGAGATGTAAGCCACTTGCACCTTAGTGAAAACAGAAACAGTTCAAAGGTCAGAAGTTGAGACCTAAGAAACCATTACAGCACATAAGAGAACTCAAGGATATTTAAATTTCTTTTAGTTAAATGTTCACATGGATTTTACAAACTACAAATGGGCCACTTTTCAGGATCATATAAATTACTATTAGTGTTCCTAGATAGATCCTACCTTCTTTACAGTATAAATAGGAAGACTTGACCCAGGAAGTCAGGGAATTTAAATCCAATTTAGGTAAGACCATACAAACGACTGTAATTAGTGAAGGAGACAGATTAAGAACTACAAGGATTGGAATCACTCCTAGCCAGAAGCAACTAACAAGTATTTAAGATTTTTTTCAGGTAAGTGCACTTGTGCAGCCAAAAAGCCCCAAAACCATTTAACATATATATATTTCTGTCAGAAATACCTCTCCCAGAATTCTGCTTCTCAGTGTAACAGCTCAGGATTTATTAATGAGGATTTACTGAATATCAACATTCAGCAATATTGATTACACACTGCTGAAATTGAGGATAGAAAGCAAAAGAATAGTCTTCCCAAGGAAGAGTTTACGTCTATAAATACAACTGTCTTACAAAGCATATCACATCAATCTGGAAGAGCTTTTAAAAGTGGTTTTAGATTTGAGTCGGGGGAATGGATGGAATAATCCCGTTCCATTTACAGAAAGTGGATTTATACTAACAAATAATAAAAAATAATGTGGAGCATGCTTTAGAGAAACACTCCAGCAGGAGAAGTGACAGCTGTAGTACTTTAATCACCTTCAAGCTATCAAGAAAGAAAATATTGATAAGCACGGGATACATGGAGACAGACAAGGAAGGTCTTAAGACTCAGTCTCTGCATGGTCTAGAAAAGTTAAGTAGAATGAATGAATGAATGACGGAGCTGAAGCCAACTAAGGTGGCTGTGAAGACTTTGAGACAAGGAGAAGGTAGGATAGGGAGGGTAATATTGTAACTTGTATGATTTTCATAGTCTGTCAATGACAAAGTATAAAAACCTAATGAAATAAATAGACAAAATGGTCATAAAAGAAAAATCCGACAAATGTTTTAACTTCATGTGACAAGCAAATTACTCAAGGCCATCCTGGTCCCCAACCAGCTGGCTCACCAGGTGCAGTAAATTATTAGCATAAATTTTGACACCAGAGCCACTACCTATCAGTACACATCTGCAGATATCATCTTGTTTATCTTTTCTGGGTAGCTAGCATGCTGCACTAGCTATTCCATGTTTACTATCATATGCTGATAACTGACTTCTGAATCATACATAACCTTGGCTGCAGTCTTGGAGAAATGTTTTGCTCATTGGAATTGTCTGGAGAGAGCTTAATACAGTTCTTCATGAAGGAACTAAAACCACAAATAGCTGTGTTCTATCTTCCCAAAATACACATACAAATTAGTTTCAATAATCTATATTGAAAGACCTTGGGAGGAACAATCCACTGAAGGGATCAGCTGGCCCAATATCCTGAATTCAATGAAAAATGTTTTGAAACAACAGTATCTTTCCAAATTGCCTTTTAAAAAATGCAAAACAACTGCTGGACAAAAATCAGTGGTTCAGAAAGACATCAAAGTTGAGGAGAAGAATTTTTGAATTTCACCCCAAAGAAACACATATTGAGCACAAACTATCATTCCCAGAACAAACTACTTTCAGTGTTCATAGCGTATTTGCAATATGACACCAACTACCCAGAGTAAAGGAGGAGACATTCTGGAATTAATTTCGGGAAGGTTCCAACAGCGCAATCCAGGCTTGTCAAATCCTGCCTGCAGTTTAATTTGACTACTGGAGGCTTCTACTTTTTCCTCAATTGCTTTTATGCCAAAATGAACCACTGGTCTAACATTCATGTGCTCTCATTCAAAAAGTATACTGTCTTCTGATAATAGCACTGGTTAACAGTTTCACATCTGCTTACAAGACACTAACACAGAAAAGGCCAGGAACTTTCTTCGAAACAAGAATTGCTATAAGGAGAACAAAATTTTACTATTATGCCTGAAATGGAGTGCAAACTCTTTGCCTATCCTCCTGCAAAATGTTTTTCCAGTTTTGCGCATGCAGTAACATTCATGGTATTTCAGTCAGCAGTTTAATTTGTGCAAATAAACTCTATGCTATCATTACAGCTCATAAGCAAGTCACAAAGACAATCTCTCTGAGAAAATGCACCTTAGGTACATGTCTGACCAACAGCAATTTTGCTGTTCAAAACATCATCAGCTTCCCCACTTGTTCACAGCAGGAAGATCCCACCCACAAATGGAACTGGAACTCCCAGAACATGATGTTAACGAGATTACTGGTAAAACAGAGGAATAGAAAAGTTTACATATTCTGTGCAAGGGCCACAATTGTAATTTGTCTTTTTCAGAAATTATTAAAAAAAAAAAAAAAAGGAAAATAATGCAATACATAGAGAACAATTGAGGTAACGTGTCTACAGTACAAACTGCAGAGGCATGTGATGGCCTCTATGTGAAACCCAGGAAATTCCATTTAAACATAAGGGCTTTTCTACTTAGAATGATTTAACATTGTAACAGGTTGCCCAGAGCTGTTGTGGAGTTTCCACCCTTGGGGAACTAAAAACCCAACTGGACGAGGTACTGAGCAACCTGCTCTATGAGGCAGGCTCTGAGTTCACCCTTTCTGCAGGACTAGTTGGACTAGACAATCTCCAGAGGCCCTTTTCAACACTGACCATTCTGAGATTCAGCAAATTCAAATGTCAAATGCATTCCTGTTTGGTTTTAATTACTGTCTCCCACCTCATAGTAGGTTTTTTTTCCACATACCTGTCTGCTCCTTTCACTTCCTATCAGGCTCTTCTTTCCTGTCATTTCTGTGACACAGTCTTTCATGTATACAGCCAATTTATGAGTTTGTAGACGTTTTAAGTGTTTTACCACCCCAAGATCTTCTGTTTTATTTACAAAATACCTACCAATAATCATTGCCATAGCGCTGCTGTTACACTGGCCAAGCGCAGACAAAATCTGGCTCATAATTTGCTGGTTGGCTAACACCAAGTCTGCCACATATGCAGTTGATCCTTGAGTATTAGCATTGTTTCCATTGCCATCTTTGCCTCCTGAAACCTTTTCTTCATCAGACACGCTGTCTGTAGTACTGCTTGCTACTGGAACACGGGCACTATATTCTCGGTTACTGGAAAGCGGCAGTTGAACTAAAATGTTGACCAGCTTTAACAGATCAAACATAAGTTGATCCCTTGTCATTTCTCCACAAACTGCTTTGGCATCACCTGGACGGATAATATTGGCAAAAAGCCCTCCAAAACACGCTCGAGCACCCACAGAGCTGTCTGAGCCGCTGCGAGACATCACTTTGTCCGAACACGTAATGTAATGATGGACAAGGAAGGTTATAGACTCAATTACTGCAGAAATAGTGCTAACTGATACAACTTCAAAATTCTGTTCCAGTGTAAATTCCAAGAGTTTCACTTGTGCATCCAAGGGTCCCTGGCCCGTCTGGAAAGCACCCCTGAAAGAAAAAAAAATCAATATATTTCACTCTTCAATATTAACAAGTTAAAGAGGTTTTGTTGTTGGTTTTCTGGTTTTTTTCTTTCTTGATTTTTAAGAATCAAAAAACACACCAGACTTTTAATAAATAAAAATCCAGCCATTTTCAGAAATGCATGTTAAAGCACAATCTGATCTTTCAAAGAAATCAAGCATTCGTAACTGTTTAATATACTGGTCATTACAGAGCCTGTAGAACCTGCTCATGCTATCACTTTCCCGATACCACTAAGGATACAAGTTTCCTTTGAAAAATTTTAGGATCCACCTTTTTTTTAATCATTCAGTTAGCTTTGTAAGTGTAGGCTTGGAATACAGTCCTGTTCAGTTGTGAGTGAAAAGTTTGGTATATTTACAGGGAAACTTCATGGGAAGAAGTCGTCTAATACTTCAATATCATTAGGATTATTTGTTTTCTAACAGCAAATTATGATTATTTTGTTTCTTCCCATGTTCTGATTTGTTTGGGGGGGGGCGCGTGCGGGGGTGTTTTCCCCTTTTTTCACCTGAGGTAGAAGACAAACAGTCAGGTTTTAGCTATCTAAATAGTCACTACACATAAGACCATCAGAAGGTACTCAAACTAGCACAGGTTGGTGCTTGTCAGTTGATTGCTTGAAGGATCTCTTTTAGGAGTAAGTTTATTTTCCCAATTACTTTTACACATATACTGGTGGACTACAAAATGAACCTTCTGAATCAGTACATTTAAACTAACTCTTGAACATCCTAACTCTTGAAGTGTTAGTTACTGATTTTTTATATATTTCTCCGTATGTTTTGACATTGATTAATCTTACTATAACTTCTAAATTTAAATACAGAACGAAACAGTTTATAGAATCAGCCCTGAAGAAAATATTTGTCATTTAATTAGTTCTAACAGTAAAACACTGCTTGTCTTCACAATCAATCTTACGCTTTGATCAGACATGGTATACTTCAATATTTACCTGAGGTTTTAGAAATAACCATCTAAACCCTTTTCTGGTGCTTTGCTTCCATTTTATGACATTTCAGTCCCACCTTTGCTTTGTCTCCAAAAAAAAAAAAATCTAACACATTTCAAAACCTATCCTTTCAGTGGTCTCATCAGCTTATTTCAAATAAATTATGGCATGCAGCTATGCATTCCAAGACTTACTGTGAACTAATGATTTTATTGTATTATGACATTTCTTGTATAAGTGACTGATTATCAATGTAGCCTGGTAAACAGCACCCATTCAATTTAAGTTACTATGGTAAAATCTCTTAAGAGAAGGCCAGAACTGTTTGCTGTAGGATTAAAGAATAGCTAACACCAAAGCGCCACCTACTGGGAAGCCAGAAACTAAGAAAGCTCATTCCTAATCATACGAAGCCTTTGTCTGAGGATGAGCAAAACAATACCAGAAATAAATGATAATTCCTAATGTACTTCAGGCCAAACAATTAGCACATTTCTGGTGTACTACTGTATACACAACAGTCTAGTGCCCACTGACCTAAGCCTTGAAGAAGTAGAGCTGTAAAAGACAAGCCATAAGCTCTTATCTCTCCCCTGCCCAGTGGCACTCCTCTACACTAGTGGGGAGACAAGACATCAGTAGGCCCCCGAAGAACAGTGGGGCAGTGGAGGTTTTCCACTGTCAGGTGAGGAGGAGAGGAATAGAAAGACAAAGCAATAAATATGCATATTACTTAAATAGGATTATACAATCTCACATTTCATTCTACCATGTTATAAAAGCCATCCGTATTATTTTCACAATCTATGAATAATTCCTAGAATCTTTCATTAATTCAGGGCTCAGAATACTACTTCTCTTTTTAATAGGTGCTCTTATTTTAGGGATTACTTTAACAAGGCCTAAATCTTAGCTCTAGATGAAAGTCAGTCCAACCGTTTAGTTCTTCTATTCACTATCCCTCACACACGGACGACGCCTGTCTGTGGATTCCAGTTGCACTCTTCCACGTGCCAGAAGCAGCCCAGACCCTGCTGATAGTGCTGCCGCAACACCCAAGATCTCCATCTATACATAACTTGACAGCATGACAAGGTGGGACACAGACGTCTTAGCTGTGATTCACACTCGCCCAGATTTTAAAGACAAAGAGGGCATGAAAGGAAAAAAAAATAGTTAAGATTTACCTTTCTGTTGAAAGTATATGTATTAACTTCAATAAAAATTCACTGAACATCTGAGGACAAGTTGAAGAAAGGTGCACTTGTAACCGAGTAAGAAATTCTTGCATAGCTTGTGTCGCTGTTGGCCCAACCTAGAGGGAAAGGCATTTTAATAAGTATTATATAAATCTGAAATGTCTTCAAGAACATTAAGTAGTATCTAACAAGAATATTTTCTAAGAACAGAAAAATATCATGTAGCTTAACTTGCTGTCTGAAAAAATTTACAGGGTTTTCACAGGAGAACCATTCCATATTGATTTATATTCTGTGTTTTTCTACTACTAAACATGAGTAAAAAGCAAATAATTCAGTTCTTTCCACTCAATTTGGAGCTTGAGACTTTATCTTTTTGGCAATGCAAACTACACTTCACACAGAATACATTTCTGTGCTAATCTGAATGTCTTTTCACAAACTAGACATTTACATATAAGTGCTTTAAATTAATGGCACTGTGTAATTTTTAAGTTCTGGAAAAGACTATGCATTTTCTAAAAATTTTTCTGGGAAATACCAGGTGTTTTCTGTCTCCTAAACTAAGTGTTTCTGAGACTCCTGTCAAACATTACATACAATTAAGTTAACTTGGGCTTTTTTAAAATCACTATTCACAGATGTTTCGAAAACTGCAAAAAGCAAAAAAAAACATTAGTTGAAATCAGGAGAAACAGTATACCTGAATTCAGAAAACACGCAGAAAATAAAAGTATGATTTTAATTCTGGAATTATTAGGTATTTAAACTTAATCTTCATTAGCATATTTATCCCAACCCAACAAGATTTCAGGAAACTAACTGAACTCTATTGCATTTTTCATGTGTGCAACTAGGAATCCTAACATGGAACACATTCACTGACATATTGCAGGGCATTATCTCCCTGTGGCAGGTCTCCAGATAGTTGTAAAAATGTACAATCACTACTCAGAGTGTGTCACCAACACGAACTTCCCAATGGCTGCTCATCAGAGCCAACTAAGACTATAACCAAAAAAAGAAACAAGTCAAGGATATAATACATTATGAATAATACATATTATATATGTATTATACATGTGTATATATATACATATTATATATGTATATATACATATATTCATGTGAAGTGTATTGAAATGCTATTACAAAGAGGTTGTTTTCTTATTTTAATTGCTAGTTACCTGTGGACTGTGTTGATTTGTTCCATGAGGATTAGTGCCGGAAAGAAATTTCACTAACACATGAATGAGGTTTGAATCTGACACCAACAATTGGGCAGTACTTTCCTGAGCTCCAATGGCACTGCTTGGACCAGCTTAAAAATAAAGACATAAAAATTAAATCTGTAATCTTAAGCACTAAGTGTAAATCAAACATTTATATTGCATATCCCTTATAATTATTTCATGATGTGTAAATATTCTCAGCAAAATCAGCTACTGAAACCTGCTTACTCAGGACTACAATTTTGAGTGTAGAGTTTTTGATTAAGCACAGATATAAACCCCCAAAACTGTTCCACCAGTGTTCCAAGCTTGTTAAGGCAGTATTCCTGGAAGTAGAGCTTCATTTTGTAGAAGCAATATATACAGACATTTTGATTTGTTTCTCTTTGCTAGTCCAACACTTTAATAAGGCTTAAGTGCATTTGTTAGTTTGTCAGACAGAGACCGCATGTTCTATTATCCTGTAAACAATCAAGATATTTTTGTCCTTGACACATTCAGAGACTTCTCATCACCGACCAAAACTGTAGGGAGCTTAATAGACAAGAACTTTGCAGACCAGAATTAGAATGAAAATACACCCTTCAATGATCAAACAAATGAGCTTTATTGAATGTGAAGTCTTGCTCCTTCAGCAGTAGTATACTCAATCAATTCAAAACACAACTTGAAAAAAGCTTAGCCTACTGAATAAAAATACATATTTTTAGAATATTACATGTATCTAAATGAAGTTATAGGTTATTACATGCTGAAGTTGTGATCTCTTTCAGGCTATCTCATCATATATAAGAGATTAAATCAAGAGGAAATGATGCTCTGGTGTGAGAGCTTGGCTGGCATCCCTTTGCATTCCAAGATAAGAGTCTTAATTAGGGAGGCTGCTAAAAGAACCAAATCCTGAACTACTTACTAATCATTCTGTTTACCAGAGTCTTCATAATTCATAAGAATTTCCTTAAATGAAGGAGGGTTAAACTAAAGATCTCAACCAGGAGGGAAACGTCTCCGTGAAAAACAGAATTAAACCCTGACTGCTTCCATCTCTGTTGAAAAGCTTTCAGAGCAATGAAATAAAAATAGCATCGGAAAGACACTTGCTATGAGAAGAAATCCTTATGGGAAGATGGAAGGAGAAGATAATTCGCAGTTAAGTTTTCCCTTTATCAAATGCCATTTTATTCTCAAACTATAAACAGATTTCTTGCTTTAGATGAATGCAGAAAACTACCACTGAAAGTAGTTCTTGTACAGCAATACAAACCATTCTGCATTGATTTCTCAACATTAGTAGTGAAACAAGCCAGTATGGCTACGAGTGGTGGACTACGAGTGGTGGCATGGCAATAGCCAAGAAAGCATCTCACAGCATTCCAGTTCCATTGTATTGTAGACAATAAGACTGCTCCAGTTTACATTTGATAGCGCAAAAGATGAAAAGGCTAGGTCTTGTCTGGGTGGGGGACAAGTCTGTAAAAAGCAAGCACACAGTTTCACAGGTTCTCTGAAAGAAAAACTGAACATTTCAGAACAACTGAGAAGCCTTCCGTTGCAGGATGTGCCTTGGAAACACCAGTCTGGGTGCACTGATAAAGTTTATTTTCCATTGCTGAATCTGCACCCCTGAACATTTACTGAAGTAAAACATACAATATGCTGATTTTCCCTCTAAGAAAACTAGGTATGTAGGTTGTAGTTGTTGTTGCGGGGGGAGGGGGGTTGGTTGGTTGTTTTTTGGGGGTGTTTCTGAGTATGTCATGATACAAGTTAAAAATGAAAATAACACTCAGGTCACTAAAAGCACTAACTTTCTAAGCACATAGCTCTTGCACGTATAACTAGACCTGTCATATTACTGCATTTTGGGTTGGGTTTTTTTTTTTCTGAAAAAAGTTCCACTTACAATCTATTTTAAAATTTAAGATAAATCACTATCAGTAAAGTTACATTCAACTGCAGCTGACATAACTAATCAAAATGAGAAGTTAATCTGAATTTGGTTATTCTGTTTTTCATAGTTTTCTGTAACTTTTCATTGTTTCTATGTAACTGCAGCATTTAAACTTTGTGTATAACTTCAGTTTAAAGCTAGATGTCCCTTGAGTTTGTCCAAAAGTACCACGTATCCAAATTAATTTCAAAAATAAGTGTACAAAGCACCCAGAATGTTTATATTTTTATTTGAAAAATGGACATACTTTTGTACTTTCCTGCATTCCTGAATGCTAACTTCACAGACAGAAGGTATTTCATTTTCTTCAGAGAACTTGAATCACCTATGACGTCTATAACAATCATTGTGACAAGCAACATTGCTATTCAATGTTGTTCTTTTTTGAAAAAGAAAACAAAATGAAACAAACTCTCCATTGAAACTACAGCTTTTAGAATATGTATGCTTGCATTTTTCTCAACAGGGCACATCTGGGGTGTGGCTTCAAGTCATTTGATTTATTCACTTGGTGTTTCTTTGAAAGGTAACATTATTTTAAAAACTCCAGCTTTTTCCTGCTGTGTTCACCTTTACTTGTTAGGTCTGTACTGTAAATACTTAATTAAATCTGGCTATTTGTGAAGATGTTACATCTTAATACAAGCAGATGTTACATTAGAACTTCCCTGGATTTGACAGTCCCAGCCCATCTCCTCTTGATGGGCAGTAGCCAAGTCCGCATGCTAACCCTCAACTCATTTCCTTCCAGGATTAGAAGGCTCCATAGTTCTTCTGTTTCATGATAGGGTTGATGCCATAACTGAATAAATACATCTTCATTACTTCCTATGTTATTTTATTTATCTATTTTATATTGAACAGCTGAAAATATCACTACAATACAAAACCCCACTTTTTTTCTACATTATATTTGTAGTCTGACATGTTTTGTTTGACATTCGAACTCAGAGTTCACAATGCCTCTACATTATCCGCTTTGTCAGGGAGCGTTTAAGCTCAAAACACTGCTCTCAAACAATATTCCTGGTGACAACAATAACAGATAAGCAAAAGGGCATGTGAAGAGAGCATGAATAGTTCTTGGTAAAGGAACAGATGAGTAAATGCATTATGAGAAGGATTTGACAGATGACAGCTGTTTACTTTAGAGCAACTGTAGCTCTGAGAAATTTTTCTTAGCCGGGTGTCACTGTAGATTTGCTTGTACCCACCTTCCTTTACATGGCATTAAATGGTTCTAGATGTCACCCATCAAATACTGATTTTAAACACCACCCTGGCAAAATTTGTCCCTGGATCGTGTAACCAATTAAAGTCATTATTCTGAAAAGAAACGGTGAGGCTATTGGGTTTATCCCTGAAAAATATCTTGCACTCCTCAGATAAAGAGTTCCTGAAGCACAGAAGTTACACAGCCTGAGCTGTCATTCTGAAGACATTTATTAGCACATAATGGCATAATGAAATAAGATTTTTCTGACCATGAACTGACTTGCTCTAGACAGTGGTTGCTCATAAAATCCCAACATAAGACAGTTCCCGAAAAGAATCTGCCCTATAATCATGTGGGTCAAAAAAAAAACCCAACTAAAAAGCCTTGATTACTACCAGAAAGATCTAGGGTTTTAGAAAAATAACTGAGAAACAGTTCTGAAAGTAACATCTAGATGAGATCTCTAGAATCACCTCATTTCTCATGATGAGATCTTCTAATTCATTGATGTCTTGATGAAATGGTGACCAAAACTGTTAGTCTTCAAGAGTACAACAGTTCAGAAGTGAATTCAAAGAGACTACCCATAAAATGCAAATGACCCAAGAACCTTAACTAGAATGTATGGACAAATATATGAAAAAGCACTGCCCTCTCCACACCCACTCCACCCCTTTGGTTTTCCTTGCATTTCCTTTCTTCTTTTTAAATGAAGGACTGAGGAAAACAGAATGGCTGAATGTGAACATATGTATCAAACGGCAATAATGAATTTCAACTAAATAAGGCAACTTAAGCAGGAGGTTCTCTGAGAAGGCTTTGAGATCCAATGGTTTAGAAAAGTAGTGATACTGGGATTTTCTCCGTGCTAAAATGCCCACCTGCAAAAAAGAGTTCAGTGTAGCTGCATCTATGAGTGGTTACACCTCTAAGTAGTTTTCTAATTTTTGAAAGAGCAAATATGATTATCTAATGAGGATTATGTCAAGAAGAGGTGCCTTCTTGCTTTATTTAAAAGACTTATTGCATCTGAAGAGGTTTACTATATCTGAAATCATCTGAATAAAATATTTTTGGTAGTATTTTTTTCATCAGTGATGATACTCTGCAAATGCATGCATTTGGGGACTTCTTGTAGTGTGGGTATTAAAAGGGGAAAAGAACCTCCTTTTATAACCACACATTTTAGCAAGACTAACTTAAATTATTCTCAATGAATTGACGTCTTAGTGGTTTAAAAATAAATAAGTAAATAAACAAAACTAACCATAACCTGTCTATAAAGTGAAGATATGTGAAGAATTTGTACTTCATAGCTTAAACCATTACAGAATTAAAGAGGATAAAAGAGAAACTTGACTCCAAAGCAAGCTGACATGTCACATTTCACCAGTCTCAGGAACAACTTTTCTTTAAATTGTTCACTCTCTACTGGCTGCATGTATTTGAAAAAACCCCAAATCCTCTCTCTTCTGGAAAGCTTGATCTTGAAAATTGTAAGTTGATGAGAACTCCTGTGAGATACAGTCTGTAATGGCTTAAGAGACTATTATTAGTCCCAGTTCTGAACTAAAGCACACAGAAACCAAAATAATTGACTGGAGAAGTGCTCTGATGGATCCCACCTATTGTCAAGAAATGAACAGAGATTATTTCACTTCTTAAATGTGACAACTCAGTGCCATCAAGACAGAATATTATCTTGCATTATTAGCTGCTGAGGAATCCTGAGACAGAAGTGATCTGATGGGTGATTAAAATTATTTAGCTCCTGGTTCTGTCAACGAGTACGGCAAAAGGGACAGTTAATCCACATATACGTATAAAAGGAGACACACCTTCAACCTTTTTCTTTACCCTCCAGCAAGCTTGCACCTCCAATCCTTTCCAACTCAACCCCAGCCTCGGGCTCACAATCCTATATACACAAAAATCCACAACCACATTCATATGCTGAAGTGTGCCTGCAATGAGTCACAGGGGTTGCTTCTCAGCAGCTTTTCGTTCACATTCTCACTTGCTGCTCTCAGGCAGTTGCCTAAGAAACTCCTGCAAACACACAGCTGCCTGTCTGTCAGAGCACAACATGGAGCCTCATAACACTTGGAAGAGATTTTCATATGGTCCTGGTGGTACACACAGCATAATTTTTGGAAATCGCTAGTGTACAGTTGCAAATTGGAGTGTTGAAAATACATATGGGTGTTAACTGCAGGCACTGTTATCCTACAAATCAGGCCATGTACTATTCTCAAATACCACAAATAAGATTGACATCTCAGTTTGAGAATATCAATTAACTCTCTTCCATTAGTTTATTCACAGCTCTACTGCTTCACCTAATAGCAAAAATTTCAGCAGATTTTTGTGAGACTGATCTCTAAATACCATCACAGAAAAGGGCCAAAAAGTGAAAACCTGAAGAAAAAAGTGCATCCCAAGGACAATGATTTGAAATAGCACATATGAAAAAAAGATTCATAAGCATCTTTGAGGAAAACGGTGGGGAATAGCTGTGTCATCATATGATGGCAAATTGCTTCATAGAAGTGTGATCTTTAGGTGGCTCTGAGTTTCTTTCTTCTGCAACTACTGTCTTTAGTCATATGCTTGGAGAGAAAACACAATTTAAAAGAGCTCTGACTCAGTCTAACATTTAGGTTTTAAAAGATTCCAGTCTCCAAGTTCTTACTATTTGGTCTTCTTTAGCCTTGAGGACAAGGCCACAAAAGCATTCCTCACGACAGCTGCCCTATGATAGTAAGCCATTTAGAAGCTTAATTTCTTCATTTTAAAATTACATCCTTTAATGTCTACCAGTCTTGTGGTAAAATCTCATTCAAAAGGGAGATTATTTTTAGTGTGCTATGGAGCAACATACAGAATGTGAGATAGTCTGGTGTGCATAGGAAAACGAAATTAAACGAATGGGCTGGATTTCTTTCTTCACGGATTCAGCTTCTAGGGTCTTATTTTGAGATAGTTAACATAAGCAATGACTAGTACCTGCATATTTACAAAAATATTCCTACTGCATCAGAAAAACATGATTCTCAGAGTGCCTTAATCCTTCCTCTCTGCTACTACTTCCCATAGTATAAAGCTAATTCCCAAGGATTTATAATGTTTTCTTTTACCACTAGGGTTTCAGTTTCCATGTTACAAGCAATTCAAGGAGACCACTCTTGAAAAGCCTGAAGTTACGAAGAACCAACAAAACTACTTGTATGACAAAGGGAAAGCTCTGGTAGTCTTTCGGATGGGAATCATTTGATGGAATAGGAATCAACGCTCATCTGTACATCACTAAAACAGGCAACATAAAAAAACCCAAACAACATCCGAACAAAACACAACACACACACAACTTACCATTAAGCTGCATATTCGTCATGAGAGTTAGGCTATGAAGCACAAGGCACCATGTCCGGAGTAAGGTATTAGGATACCATGCCAGAACTGACAGGAAACTAGTTACTGAAGCTGTCAAGAAAAACATGTTTTTCCAAGCTTTAGTCTTCAGGGTATTACTATAAATGTGTTGTGTTTACTGTAAGGTGCTATATTTATTATTGTTATTATTGTTTTTGTTGTTGTATTTATTATTTTTTGAAAACTATTGTTCCAGGAAATGAGGAAGAGAAGCCTCACCAACACTTCACAAGAACTGGCCCATGGAACTTTCTACGGTGCCCAAAGCCTGACATCTCAGAAAAAACAATGCAAAGAAACCTCTGGTTTCAAAATGCTCTCATGGAAGTCAGCAGAACAGGTTCACTATAGCAGGCATTTATGTTTTGGACTATCACCACAAAATATCACACATTTTTTAAACTACAGAAATTAATTTATAGAAATAATTCAACATGTCTTTGTACTAGATTAGCAGACGGATGCCAAAAAGTAATAGGGCTTCCTCCCACACTGACTCCTTCGATAATAAAGGGATCATGGGATGGTATACAAGGAGAAGAAATTTGTCACAGAAGAACATACAGGTGCACAGTTCACCTTAGACTAAGAAGTTTCGTTTTAAAAGTCCTCTTGGGATTAATGTTGAATTAAGAACCACGAATTTTACAATTTAATTTCTGAGGCGATTATGCAAGTTCAAGGAACCATCTCTCAAATTACATACTAGCTACACATTTTTCATGTTAAGAAGATAGCGAGCCCAACAGCTCTTTAATAAGAACACAGAAACCATCCCAACATTGATCTTATCAAGAACACTTACATACTTTTTGCTTATTAGCAAAAAATAATTACTTAAAAAAAAAATCTTATCTTACACATCCTGAAAATTAATTTCCTCTATTTAATGTATTTTACCTTGGTTCAAGGAAATGACAGGTATTCGGTTAGCGTTATAAAGGAAAATATCAGCGCCACTATCTTTACTTCCAGAGGAGCTGGAATTTAGGCTTAATGTGAGCCATAACTGTAAAAGGGATTCAAGCTGAAAAAGAAGGAGAAAAAAACCCACAAAACCCACTATCAGACCAAACTCACATGTTTTTCCAGAACTCCAGAGCATAAAAGCTTATCTGTTTTGGTTTTAAAAGTCATATCTACATTCTCTGGTGCTACCGTTTCACTGATAACACACATACACTCTCCTTTAGTGGATTTGAAGATTCTGATAAACTTAATATTCAAATTAAATTCAACATAACTAGCAAATACTACTTATACATTTTTGTAACTGATTTCTTCTAAATACAGTTAAGTTTCTCTTAAGAAGTTTCTTCAAACTTATGTTAAAAAAAACCAAACAGCTTTACACACTTTTCAGAAATGCCTGTATCACAACCTTACATCTCTAACACCAGTTTGCATGTAAGCTATTGAAATGTCTCATTATAGTCAAGTGATGTTTACCAGTCAACTGAAATGATTCAAAAGGCCCATTTAATTACTGGGAAACCTCCTTTGCTATCAGAGACACACTGATGCTCGCTCTCAATAACTCCCTTGAGGAAAATAACCGGTTAGATATTTTGGGGGACTATCAAGGTCCTTTACCCCACAAACTCTATTTTAGATGAGATATTTAAAGAACAACTGAGGGATGGAGTCAGCCACCCAATTAAAACATGAAGAGGTAGGCAGGCACCTAACCACTCATATATAGCAAAGACGACATTTCTTTGTATGTATCAATAAGTGTTGCAAAAGCAATGAATTTTTAAAAAGCATACTTCTGATTTTAACATTTAGGATCACTGGATAATTTGGGTTGGAAGACCTCAGAGGTTATCCAGTCCAATCGTCTGCTCAAAGAAGGTCCAGCTAAGATGTCAGACTAGTCGCTTGGGGGTTTATCCAGCTGGGTTTTTAAAACCTCCACAGATAGAGACTGCACACTTGGTGATACTCTTCACTAATAAGCTAACAATTATCTTTCAGTGAACCTACTAACTTGGTTTTAAGTATGAAAACATACACCCGCTTTTTCACCGTAACAAAAAATACCCTATTTGATAAAAGCTTTCAGCAGCTTGTCTATTACATTATTGGTACTGTTGTCCACGACAACTTCATAAGTAACAAAGCACAAAACATAGCAGGTTACTTGCATCTTAAGTAGTAAGAAATAAAGGAAAACAACTTTCAAATTTAGAAACACTATCACAACATTTTAAAGTTCATACTTCTGTACCTGAACATGGTGGACTTGTAGCATGGAAAAGAGTTTGTTGAAGCATGCACTCAGCATAGGTATAGATGACAACTGTACAATCAGCTGGGTATTTTGGTTAGCAGCATGTAATCCTCTTAACAATGAATCATCTGTTCCACTAGGAGATTGGGTTACTAAAAAAAAAACCAACAAAAAAACAAACCAAGAAGTACCATCCCCCATTAATTATTTTGTAAAAGTTGCTAAAAGTAATTTCATATTTATTTTATTGTATTTTATACTTAACGGAAAGACACTTATTTTATAATTTACAAGAACATCTTCAAAGCAGTGTTCAGCTGAGTTGGACTATTGACTACCATACTGTGAAAGGCATACTTGAATGTCAGACATCTCCATCGTCACAAAAAAATGTTTGGCAAGTGAACTCACAGAATCACATTTTCATAGTTCTTGCCAAACAGGTATTATAGGAGCGTCCAGGTAACACTATGGCAAGACAAACAATTGGAACATCTCTTTCATGCATGTAAAACTACTTTAGTCAATAATAAACTTCCAGAAAATAAAGTCTGAGGATGTCACTAAACCTATTCCATCGTCAGATACTCAACTAATGACTGCATGCACATTAAGGTACTGATACAGCTACAAAAAAAGCACACTTTAACAAGACAGGCAGTGCAACTCACTGAAAATATGTTCAAAAGTAAATCGTCATCATGAGTGTTTTTATATCATAAAAGTTACTGAACAGGCAAGTTCAATATTGTATTCAAATATTTTCACTTTCATCACTAAATACGTGAAACTGTCAGAGCAGCTTTCAAACAGCTGAAATTTCACACTGAATGCAAGAATAAAGCTTCACAAAAATAGAAAAGTTAATGTTCACTTTCACCTAGATAGGAAAATGAAAACAATTCCTCCATTGTACTATTATGTACTGTAAAAGGAATCCTGCATACTTGACCAGTTTCACAAAATGTCTTAAATGTATGTGTACACATACTTAAAAAATATGAATAAAGAAGTATCTCTAAAGCTCAGTCTAACAAGCAAATTCAAGTGAAACATAACTTTTTCTAAGCTGCTAAGTGACTGCAGAAAAAATTAGTACAAATTTCAGAGCATTGTGGTCATTATGTGAAGAGAATGATTTGACAACATGTAGTTACATGTAGGAGATGTGTTTGTTAATGCTTGTAGAATGGAATCAGCCTCCAAGGTGGACATCATTTTCAGCATCAGCTCAGCCTGCTGTTCAAGTCCAACTTCTAGACGTGCATCTAAAGCTACACAAGGCAATAAACAGGGTGAAACTGAATTATATCAAAGATGTATATAATTAGTTAGTCTAACTTTCTGTGCAAGCAACACCGTATACAGTCTACATTAAACTAAAAAATTCTCAGTATCACTAACAGGAAGATTCACTTCTATGTATGACAGAACAGAATGTAAAAACTTATACTCTGAACTGAACGTAAGATTCTCATAGATGTGAAATATATAATGAATAAAATACTACGTTTTTGTGAAACATACACATATTTCTTTTCACAGTCACTTTATTATCACACATAACTAAAGCCACATATGTTTAAGCCTGTTTTTCTTAAGGTAATAGCTCTCAAACAAGAACCAAAGAGCTGGTTTTCCCCAGTGTGGCAGGGAAAAGATCTATTACCCCAGTCCAGTAGTACTCCTCCAAACTAAACAAGTGTGCCATCTTATTCCTTAGAGTAGAGCCAACTATCCAAAATATCAGCCAACTAGAATAGACCTTCCAAAATTTCCTGAGAAAACAGGAATTATTTAAAACTACCTATAAGTGTATGTTCAAAAATGTTAGAAAATAAGATCTGTTGCTATGTTAGGCTGTTTTAAATATAAACCTCACACAACATTCTCTCAGTTACCACAGAAAAACTGTAGCATATAGAAAATTTAATTCTTTCCACTTAACACACACAGATTGTTAACATAATTGGATATGCAGAAGTGTTAAATACAGTATCACAGAAAAGAGACCCTTAACAGAACTTTAGTTCATTGCTTACCTTGAGAGACTGATACGCTCACAGTTTGTGATCCATTTTTCTCTGTAGTTACCGGTGGTTTTGCAACTGGAATTCCAACGCCTCCAATGTAAGGATTGTAGTTGTAGGTGCCATAATCAGCACCCCAGTAATCGTACCAGGTGCTGCTTATAGGCTTAAAAACCAAACAAAACAAGAAAAAGAAATGAAAGGAGGAGTGTTTTTCTGGCTGCTTTTTAGAGGACATCCAACCAGACAATAAATCATGAAGATACCTGGGGATGGAGTGGACTACGAAGTACTGCCAAAGGAAATGATAGCAGAATAAAGGAGGAGGGCAATATTGGTAACACAAAAATATATTTTGGAATATTCTGGTAAGGTGAGATTTAAAAAAATCTTTACATGTTAGGTAATCAGTGGAAGAACATGTGAGGGACTATAGAGAAAAAAAAAGAAAATTGAGTGTTGTCTGAGCAAGTGGTAAGAAACATAATTTAGGTTAATTCAAATGAGGCTGAAGGTTTAAGTCAATAGTGAGAGGAGTAGGAAAACTCCAAATGACAGTCTCATCCTTATGGGCAGAGAAAAGAGACTCAATATTTTATTATGAAAAGTTGTGTTTGTTTATAAGTAAAATATATTTTTTTTAATATACCTTGACAATACATTATTACATCTAAATGCAATTTTACTACCTCTGATATTTTTAGCTTTGGTTTTAAGTATGAAAGCATTTAATAATTTTCTTGTTCCGCAGAGAAATAAATTTTCAAGTTAGCTGTGTCTCTTCACAGTCTGATGCTGGTCTGAGCACTAACTACCGCTGATTTTATTTTTTTTTAAACACAATATTAGCAGTATTAACTCTTAGGATCAATCACAGAAGCAAATAGCACTCTATTCTTAATAAAAAAAGGACAAGACTAGATCTTACTTTTCTTTTATATTATGCTTTTTTGTCTTTAACACGCTGGAGTAAACTCAGAACATCTTATTTATACAGGTATCTTCATACAAAAGCAAAATATTTTGTGGTTAACTGTGATATGAATACATCTGAGATGTGAATACCATGTTTACATTCTTTCCTGTCATTCTACATTGAACCTTCATAAAAAGTTAAAAGTAGGTCTGAGACATCAAATACCAATAATGAAGAAGTGTAAGACAGAAAGGATTTTACTATTTTACATGTAAAGGTTATCCTGAAAAGTCAAGTGTGTCATACCTTGAAGACTTTGGCTGCAAGAGGATCTTTTTCCAAATCAATATCCAAAGGATCAATATCAACTTCCATTAGGTCTTGCAGTAATTCAAGGTCAATGTCCTTATCTTTTTCTAAAGATGACAGAGGTGGAGCACCTTTGAATGATTAAAAGAACATTAATACCACCAAGTACAAATTATGAAACATGGATATCTCATACACTTAATGGATAATTTTAAGGCTTTTAATATTACAGCTCTTAGGGGAAAACGTTAATGAATGCAATCAAGTTGCCTTTTTAAAAATAATTGGATAAATAACTATTTTTTACTGATCAGATGTAAAACTAAGTTGAAGAATTACTCATATTCTGCCTCTATTTTTAGAAGCTAATTATCCTATCACCAAAAATCCTTTACTGATATTTTGATAGCTACGTAACAGCAAAGGGGTTTTTTAACTTTTTTTCAGTATACATCTTCATATACAAGACTATGAAATAATTTACCTGTGATGTCGTGTGTCAAAGGCTCATCTATTGTTTCCACTAACTGAACTGTGGACTGCTGGAGAGAGTCATCAGAATCCCCAGCCGAAGCTCCAGCATCTTCTCCCAAAGCACTTTCTTCCATAGCTTCAGCTGCTATAGGTGCCAACAACTCTCCTATGTATTAGATTAAGCAGACAAGTCCATTTCAAGCTTTATTCCAGTTACAAATTAACATCCCAGTGTCTAGGCCAATTGCCTGTTTTTCTTCATCTAACTCTAAATTCTCTAAGGGCTACTTCTTCAAGGGGAGGAGTTCTGAATATTTGTCAAATAATCAGGGGTCATATAAATATTAACTTTTCAATGCACAAGTCACTACCTCAGGATTGACTGTAACAGCAATTTGAAATTGCCTTTTTTTTTTTCCACACTAATCTCAATTTTATGGTTTTTTTTTTAAACTATCTTAATAGTGTCAGCAGATTCTAACATAAGAATAAAAAGACCTCTAAGACATTAAAGGAAGAAAGTTTCAAGTGCAATGAGCGTTCTGAAAAACATGAACTTCAAACAAACCTGCTAGAATATCCTGCAGCATACAAGTCAGAGAATACTGAGCCCATGCTCCTCCCCAAGAGATGTCTCCTCTGTTAAAGTCAGTTCCAACAAGAAGCAGCAATAATCTTTCCAACTGAGTCTCATTTACAATCTCACATAAATGAATTGTTGGTCTTGTAGCATTTGCAATTCTGGCAAGAACCTATAAAAAAAGAAATACATGCCTATTCATATTTAACACTAAGAAAACATATAATAGCTTTATTTTCTATGATTATTAGATTGTGCTTACAACTAAATCAGGTATTTTTACTAGCTTAAATTTCAGAGTTTTACAAGTGTAATGATAATATTTTCTTAAAAGTTACTTTTTCTATGCAATTTTGAAGGCATCATATTGTAAATTACACAAAAAGGTGACAGATCAGAAAAACTACCTCACCAGAAATTACTAGAAATTTTAACACTGCAGTTAATTTTTACCATCGAGAGAGCAAAAGAGCAGTAACAGAAAGCTAAAGTCATGTGGTCTCCATTGAAACCACAGAGTGATGTTCCATATTCTGTTTACCTTACAAACAAATAGAAGTAAATCCGCATGACAAGTAAAGTCCATGGACAAGAGAAAGAGTGCCAGCTTCTGCACTACAGAAATACAACGTTCATGTGCCAGTGTAAATGGAAGTGGTTCAATTTCTGGAGTTTCCTTTGTTGCTGATACTTCTGTATCTAAAGTAGAACGAGGCCATTCCGCAGTCCGACGTAAGCGTATTAAGTCCTTGAAGTGCTGTAGAAATTAAATTTGAAACAACAGTTACATTTTAAAACTAACCTCTAAATCTTTTCACAGTGAAAATCTGAGGCAGCAATAACAGTAACTGTAAAACTTTTAAAAAAGAAAAAAAGGAGAGTCTAAGAATATATGAGAATCTGGAGTAGAATTAAAGCTTTTTTGGCAGAAAATTGTTTTGGCAGCATGTTATCTCAGGTGACAGACACAATGTAATGAAATTATCCAGTTCTGCACAAAAGCCAATTAAGCCTTTATGTTTGCCATTAAACATATTGAGAATATGTCTTTTAGAAGTTTCTTTCATATTTGCACATCTGCATATAAAGCTATGGTTGCCATGAAGCAAACTGTATTTAAAAATAGCTAATATGGAAATTAACCCTTACAAGAATGCTGACTTCTCAGTTCTTCACATTAGATAAATCATCAATAATTTCCAACTTTCTCAATACTTCCAAGGAAGTCCATTAGCCACCATAAGTTGAACTAGTCCGACACTTGATCAGGACTCTAAGCTACAACTTTTTTGACAGAGGGTCTAAAAATTCCATGGAGGAAATAAGGTGCTTTTATTAATCTTCCCATCCACCAAGGGCACACATCTAGCACCTCAGTTCATTGTTACCAGCTACATGAGCAGTCTAAAATTAGATAACATAAATGCCTCTTATAATCTCACTTAAGTAGTAGATATTGAAGTAGATCAGAGAAAGAACTATTTACTAACACAAAGGTTTCAGCTTTATCCTAAATGCAATAAATGTTTTAAGTTACTCACAGCTTGTCATAACTGAAAGCAATTAGTAGGCAAAGTAGTGAAAACTGCATGAAATGTAACTATCAAGTGTACAGTGATACCATAAACTAGATGTTAAGATACTGCAAGGGGAAAACTCTTTAGTTCGACATGCTTTTTTGATGCAACATGGCTGCTATAAAGTGAAACTTAAATAGCTGGACAGCGTATTTCAGCCAGTGACTCATTTGAAGATGTCTCAAGGGGGCCACCAGTGGTGTAGCCCCCCTGATATAACCTGCTGGAATAAATCAGAAGATAGTGCAGGAAAGAACAGCTCATGACAAGCAGCGTTAGTGAAAACTTAGGGCTTTATTCTTATGCTGGTATTTAAATTTTGGGTTTTTTTCACTTGGTTTTTCTTTTTCCTTTTCCTTTTTTTGTGATTACTGGGAGTTGTAAGATTTCTCCTTAAATCACCTTTAAGGTCCAACATTCTATAATCTCTTTCCACAGGCCTACTTTCAGTCATCCTTAGTGACATTAGTACTTCTGGAACTAGAGAGTAAATATTTAGAGAGATACTTAAGTTTCGTAGCTAGAAAGATTTACACAGTTTGTGTGTCCCCTGCAAAGTTGATGTTACCATCTCCAGAAATCCCTAAACTGAAGCACCTCATCTCACAATCAAAATAATTCTTTAACTACCACATCCACTCTCAGTACCTGGGGCTTACTGCAAGATGCCACAACGTATGTGAAAAGTACTTTTAGGAAGCTAAGAATCTTCTGAGAATGCTCAGAAAACATTCTCACAAGTTGTATTTATTAGTTTGGGGAGACAGTCATAGGCATGATTATTTTCTGATTACTCAACCAGGAGAGCATCCAGAAGAGTATCATTCATAAAAATTAGCCATATAAAGTATTATTTTACATTTCTATTGGTATATGTTATCCAAAGTTTAGAAATACAACTAGTGTTCCCAAAGCTACAACATTATTGGTGAATTTGGCAATGACAAGCTAAAAAAATCCCTTTAGAAGGAGAAACTATTTTTCACAGTGGAAGAAATTTCCAGATGGCTGCTCTTTCAGCATCAGAATATACTTGATAGCAGCCATGATGAAACAACTTTTTAAAATAAGGTCAATGTAGAACAAAAATGACTTTGCAGGAACAGGTCTTTTCACACAAAGGACAAGAAGTCAGTTACAGTTTCAAAGCATCATACCTTTGAAGTAGCCTGCTTTAGTTTTGCCTGTTCTACTAAAAGTTTGTATGATGATCCTTTGTTGCTTTGTATTTTCTCTTTTTCCATCTGTTCCACCAAAGCCTTCTGTTTTGCTTTTAATAAGTTAAGTTGCTAAAAGAAAATGTTAATAGGAAAAAATGAAAATTTAAGCAATAAGATGTTAAAAGGATCAGTAGGTTCATATGAGAGTAATCTTCAGTTCAAATTGTAACTTGAGCTTTTAAAATACAGTTTATATACAATTTTAACTAAGACACCGTCAGGGGCGACTAGCAGAACCAGAACAGATGAGGTTTAAGAAGAAACGGTATTTTTAAAGGAGCTCAAGACATACATGCCCAGGGTCATAAAACCTGCATGGTTGCATTTAGAAATGAAAATTTTGTGTCTTAAGAATGACCAACTCTTAAATGACAGCTTAGGTGCTTGCACTCAGGTGTACCCAGATTCATCTAGAAAGTAAATTATATTTATTGTCCAATATGGGTCACAGAGTGCAACAGTACTGTCCAACATCTGTTCTTCCAGCAGATCCCATGCCCCACGGTTTGAGACGAATGTCAAAGAAGTTAGGCAGCCTTTAGCTATAGAATCAGACCTATGCAAAAGCAAGGCTGAATGAGTCCCAAGGCCAAAGCTGTTCTTTGAAGAAATGAGATATACTATAAACGAGAGATACTTCTGTGAAAATAGCCACCACCGTGCTGGAAATCACCTGTTTATGATGCACGAGCTGCTTTCTGATCTTTCGGGAATACAGTCTATCTAGGCTACTATTGCCTTTAGTAGATCTGCTCAGACTCTGAGTATGAAGGCTATTGTTTATAAAACTCCACTGGTTTCCTAATGGAAATAGAAAAAAATAAGATATTAATCCATCTTATTAAACCTCACTTAACTCCAGAGAAAAGCATTTACACTGCAGCAACGGTTAGCATCTCCATACGCTAAATACTAAAGAAACAAGCAAAATCTAATTCTCTTAGTATTATGCAACTATTACCACAAATGATAGTATTTCTGTGTAATTTTAAAATGCAGTGGTACCATCTTGTTTTCGTTATTTTTAAAACATATACGGAGGTAAGCAAGACTGTCTGAACTAAAAATACCTGAACAGCTTCTATAACACAAAAACTTTACAGTTTTCATTTTTAGATAAGATGTTAAAAACCATAGCTAATCCACTTTAATAATAATAAACAGACAAAAAATGCATTTAAAAAAACTGAATACAAATACCATGGCAAATACCAAATGAGTTATGAAGTCATACTGTTGCCCTTTCTCACAATACAAACTGTCTCAACATGGTGTACGCTCAATTGCCAGGTCCCAGAGTGACAGGATAATACACAAACATTTTACAAACTAAAATCAATCCTGTATTTTGCATTTTAAAAAAATATTTCTAAGGAGAAGGGGATGTAAAGAAGCAGACAACAGTGCAAATAAAATTATCACAACACCTGTTTTAAAAATCTCATTATCAAGTGAATAGAAAACACATTTGAAGTATTTGAACAGCTCCCAAGCCAACACCCATAGAAGCAAGTTTTGATAATAAGTGTTACATGCCTGTCAAAAATCGTTCCCTCTCTTTTCCATTCAGAGGTTTCTTGGCTGTGGCTGCTTCATCTTCAGCAGTAGCTACGTAATCCAGTAGTCTGGACACCAGCATTACAACCCAGCTGATCATGGGAATGTCTAAAACTCCTTCAAAATAAATAGATTTGAGTGCCTTAATAAAGTTTTGAAGTCATAACAAAATAGTTTTAAAGAAGTCATTAAAAGCACTAGATGGCACATGTTTCACTAGGCCACAAAGAATCACAAGACAAGAAACTCCAGTTTCCTGTCCACAATGGCAGAAAGCAGCCCACTCCAAGCAGGCAGAGGAGTAGGAGGCCTCCTCGTAACAGGATCTGAACAGTAACAGAAGAGTAAATTGCAAGAATAGAGACGAGTAGCACTGGTGACCGCTACATACCTTTTTGGTTGGCAGAATAAAAAGAAGGGAGCCTGCTGCAGTGTGAAGTATATACCCTTTCATACTTCTGTTTAAACAAGTGCATTTCTTTTCCTTTTATCTCTTAAAAAAAACCCCAAGATATCAAAATTTTTGGCTTCTCTCCCTCCCTCCAAGTGTCTTTTGCTTACTCCTTCCCCCCCCCGTCTCACAGTTTACAACTTCTCTCTACCCACAACACAATACTCACCTCTTGCTCTGATTGTCCTCTGTTTTCTGACTTTTTCCCCAGTAAGTTTTCACCCCTTTGACCCTTAGTTATGCGTGATAGTTCTCAAATAGGAATTTCTTCTGCCGTACCTGATGCTTCCACCACACATAATAATGCCCTAGTACTCACCTGTACTGTCCAGGAGGAAGGAAGCTGGAAGACCAGCAAATAAAGCTCTGAAGTATCAGTTACTTCTGCTTCCTAAAGTCCTCCGTGAGGACAACTAGTAAGGCAAGAGCTATGAAAGGAATTGGCAGCTGTGGGGAGAGTGCAAACAGAGGTAGAGGAGATGTAAGCTTGGGTTTGCCTCAAACTAGTTAGAGACTACAGCAGGATATGGCCACGATAGAGAAAGTACATGGTAGACCAATGGGAAGCAATAGGACAGCTTCTGACACCAGCTGTAGGCTTGTTTACATCAGGAGACAAGGTAAAAAGTAAGGACAGAATCTCAGCTGGCATTTATCAACTTCACAACACTAAGAATTTTAAACAACATATCTTCTACAATGTTCTGCTACATGTACGTAACAAATTAAGTAGCCTAGAGTCTGATGTTTTCAAAAGCAAGCATTTTCTTCAAACTTAGGGTAGGTAAGAAAACACTCCAAAAAAATCAAGTTTGGAGAATATCATTTCAGTCATTTTAGGGTCAAAAAAACGTATATTCCTTATGAGTACAAAAAACCACCATGTAGTTTGCAGAAACCATGCAGATATACCTAACAAACCTGTCTTCATAACCGTGTTTCACCTCAAGAGCTTGACACTTACAATGGATCTCATGTGGAAAAGGGGCACTTCTTTCCAAAGTCATTCACTAGAGTAATTAGAGTTGTCTACACATTAGATGTTCTCCTCGCTTTGTTAAAATTTTAAAGCTTCCTAGTTGAATTAAAAGCAACTGAACAGATTTCGCTCAGGTTTAAACACAGGGGTGGGAGGGACGAATCTCTTTTAGCACCTAAAGAGCAAGAAGTGTCAGCACATTTTAAATACGGTAAAGGAGAAGTTTCTTCTTTTAATACACCAAAAATTGTGAGCTAGTCTCTCAATTTTCTAGCTTATAATGAACATGAAAATATAGTTTCACAAATTAGAGGGCTACCTTCAGTTCTTCTGTGCACAGGTAAATGAGGTTGCAGTGGTGACAGCAGGTTATCCAGGAGATTAAGCAAACTTTCTAAAACACCACTGTTGCTAAGCGATCTTTGGCCAATGCAAGAAAGCAACATGAAGACCCTAAAAGTAAAATTTACATATTTAAGATTTCTTTTTCAGATCCAGTAATATTCTGAAACACTCCTTATAGAACAATATTCCCCTAGGCTTTCATCTAAGATACAAGCAGATTCTTACAGAAAGCACTACTGTGGCCCAGCAAGCAAATGGGATTTCATGTTTTATTGTTGTAAAGACAATGCAGTATTTTAGGGTGAACATTTTCTTTTTCACCCTGAAGAGGTCAGCAGAGCATTTGACTTAATACATCTGAAACAAGACCTCATCCATTTTATTTCCTATTACAGATGATACACTGAATAGCAGGGATCGAGAATTATACCTATGTATTCTTAAATCCTTGAATTAATTAATTTAAAAAAAATATGAAAATATAAATGTTGCTGTCCAAAGAAGACAGAACAGCAAATACGTTTGATTAAAATAAAATGCTAATGTTTAGAATATCAAAGACCTCAATCAATAATCTGAAACAATCAACACATCTAACATGCAATGCTCAACTCTACATTTGTTTGTTCTTATGTCAGAGAAATCTTTTGTATTAAATGCTAATAGTGTGCTTTCCAGTCTCAATTCTACTTCCAAATGCATTAGAAGAGCAGTTCTATGATGAGGGTGCATTTAGGCCTGATAAAGTAGATGGCAATTTTTGACACTGGGGAGCAATCCTGCTAGGTATGCAAACATCTCCAAGTAAGGAAAATGAGCAACTTATTGTGGTGCAAGCACCAAATAGGTGCAATGAATAACTGCAATCAGACATTTATCATTTGCAATGCTTTTTTGGGACTATTTCTTAAATCAATGGAATAGACAGTTAAGTATTCTTCAGTCGCATCTTCTCAATTCCAATGTTAAGTTATGAACGATGGAATTATTTAAGTGATCCACAGGTAATGCATCAACATAGACTTATATCTTACCTGTCTTGTGGGAATATGAGAAGTTGCTCTGAATTGTATAATTCCTGCAGTACGTTTGAGAGAAACTGACCCCACCATCTTTCTCCTCCACAGAGCTGAACAAGCAGAAGGCCAGTATGCAATCGTATCTTTGGGGTTCCACTGATACACAGGTGTTTAAATAATTCTTCACAAGCTTGAGCATGAAAAGTACTTTGCAGAACCACAGGAACAGAGTGCCCTTTTAAGAAAGGGGAACAAACAACTATGTTTAAGGAGACAATGGCTTGAAAATATAGGAGGAAAAAGTTTGTAGGAAGTTTTTAAAACTATTATGATTAGACTAAATGGCGGGGGGGAAACATATCAAAGAGATGGTAATTTGCAGGTAGACCAGGCCATTTGATCAACATGAAATCAATTTCATATCAGTGTAAATACCCCCATGGAATCTACACAAAGCAAAAACCAAACCATCATTATGCTTAAGAAGAAACTGGCACAGAAAAGTACAAGACAAACACACCAATCTGTCAACAGAACAATGACCTTTGGTGGGGGGGGGTGTTTGTTGATTTTTTTTTGTTCAGTTGGGGTTTTTGTTGTTGTTGTTGGAAAAAAACACCACTCCTACTCAGACTTTTCAATTTCAATTCCTCATGAACTCTTTCAATGGCAAGTTTAGGAAATAAATATCCTTACTGGATATTAAAAATCACGAACTAAGCAGAGATACTGGTTTTATGACTTTCCCCACACACACAGAGAAGCAATTTCTGCTTCCCCTCCCCAGCTCTAACGGCCTAATCCATTCCCAGTGTTGCACAGGCTTTGATGCTCACAGATCCTTCCACAAGCTGTTTCTACCTATGAAAATAACATGAGTATTCTGCCTGGGCAGTCTTCTGTTACTTCAGCAAACTGAATCAGCCCACAGAAGGATCAGATGACTATCTGAACAACAGAATATGTAGCCAGGTCTACAGAAAAGGGAGAAGGACCTCGACACCCTCTCCTATCCTTTTCAGAAGCAAGGAGTGGTTAGGTCAGCTTGCTGCCACTGGTGAAACTTTACACTGTATGTAACCAGCTACTAAAATCACAGTAAAACATATCTGAACATACTTTAAAAGCTTCATGGTGGGAAAGCACAGATCAAGAAATAGAAACACTTGCAAATTGTTTCTACTAACGTGACAGAAATATCAAAACCTCAAAAAAATACTAACCATTGGAAGAATGAAGCAAACTAAGCAAAGTATCCAGTAAGTATCTAATGATGGTGCGTAACTGTTCTGTGGATGACATCTGAATCAAATCTTTTGGATCAGATTGCTCCTTCAGTGTTTTCCTGCTTGCACCTAAAGCTACTTTGAGCCTCTGAACAGCATGGTGAGCCAAGTTGAGTTGAAGCTGTAGCTGAATGCAGTCCTGGTAAGCAGAAAAGACTCTGCTATCTTCTTCTACTGCCTTGTCTGGCTTTCGTAAAAAGTACTGGGCATTGTTAGCACTATTGAGTGGTGGCAGGTCAATACTCTGCAGAAGGATTTCTAACCGATGACAGGCCAAATTGTACCTAAAGGGAAACATTCCAACGCACAATTCAACAGATCAACAGCAATACATTTGACAATCACCCTGCCAGAAGATGACTTCTGGTCCATTTTGAATGCACTGTTAAAACAGATATTGAAAAAAAATACAGTGTAGTCTTTGTCACTGCTAGAGAGATATTCAGTGTAACAACTGTACAACAAAGAGTTTTCTTTGGTCTGAAGAACATCATAGGAAAGGGGGAAAAAAAATCTGTAATATCACAATATCCCAGTGTTTTAAGTTAAAATAATTAGTAAGTACACATATTTTTTTTTCTTCTAACCTGCACTGTATGTCTTCTTGCAACGCAACCATCATTGCCAAATGTTGGTCAATTTCTGGCTGATTTGCAGCTTCACCTTCTCCTCTGAGGGGATCGTGCATTAGTTTCAGCTCATTTTCAAAGGGTAAGATATAGGTATGGCCATAATAAAATCCTAATGGGATTTTTGCTCTGGCATTTGTGCTACCATATCGACCAATAACAGTGATCTGAAAGAGAATGCAACTGTACTGTAACACAATTGTATCAAAACAGACAAAAAACCCCCACAAAGTCAAAAATTCATAGAAAATTGACAGTCCACTAAAGTTTGGTCTAAAGAGAACTTCAGAGAAAGTTCACATACTACCAAAGATCAAGAGTTTAAAAGATAGAGTATGTAGTCTATCTCCTTTTACCTTCATAAACCTGCAAACTGGAGGTGGCAGCAAGTCATGTAAAATAAGTGAATGTGTGCTAATGTCAGTAGCCACTACCAGTCGTCTTCCATCCACTTCTTCTCCTAAAGTCCAGATGTCAATTGACAAAGAAGCTAAATCTCCACAAGTGGGAATCAATACATCTGTCAGCAATATAGGTCTTCCAAAATCTAAGGTCACAAATCTTCGTGCTCCTAGGGAAAAAAACACAGGATTGCCTAAAAGACCAGTGTGGGCTAACCAGTGAAGAGATGTTACTTCTCAAACAATAAAGACATGGTTTATATATTGTTCAAAACATATACATTTGAGGTTAAAAAAAAAATATCTCAGAATCTCTCACTACAGCTTGCAACCTTCAAAAAGAAAATTTTGGCTTCAACTTAATTTGTTATGCTTTTTATGCATTATTTCAGAACAGGTGCTCTGTTCCCCCAGTCTCCAGGATTTTCCAACTTGATAAACATCACTGAACGCTGGGTCTTAAAACTTCCAGATACGAGAGAAATGAAACTGAGAAATATCTTTCCTTTGGAAAGCCAAGTGAGACTACAGCTAAGCAACTTACTTAAGAACCTGGAAAATATTCCACTTCTTATTAGAAAATGTATCAAAAATTATAATTAGGAATTCTGCTTTTACCTGAGTGCATTCGCTCTATAATAATTGACTGATGAGGTGGAGGTTGAAGAAAATGTGAAGCGTGAGATATTGCAAGAGCAAGACCAGATCCAAGTGGATTCTGAGGAGTGGGAAAACATCAGTAAAATTAAGTCAGTAGAATCTATGCATTTATAATACGATGTTCTTTACAAAAGACTGTAAGAAAAGCTCTTCTGATTTAAAGATGTACGATTCTGACAACACCTCACTATATTTAGATTTGAGCATGAACCCTCACAATATATTAAATACTAAGTTCAAAGGACTAATAACTCCTTATGTAGTTAAGCTATCCCCAATTAAAAAAAAAACCTATTTGAGGTACTATAACAATTCTATCTTGCTTTCATAAGTCTTCAAAAGGTGTAAATTTAGTGATATAGTTTTCACATGTCATCCAAATAAACAGGTATTTACTAGCACTCAGGTACAAATTAGATCCTGATAAGGCTTACAGCATGTTGTTTCTATAAGAAAAACAAACAAAAATAATTACCGTTCTAGACTTGCTTGTATTTTTGTTATGCGCTGCAAGGTTAACTGTTGGGGGATCAATGACTGAACCAGGGAAAAGCTGAGCAAGTTCTGCATTAATAACAGCAGAAACTGCCTCATTAGGTGGAGTCAAAGGTGGAGTCATGAATAGAGGAGTTGTTTTTGGTGTGGGTGGAATGACATCTGAAGGATGGATGAAGAACCCTGGGGCTGCTACTGGATTAGAAGGCACAGAGTTGTGAACAGGACCAACTGCTGATGCTGCTGCTGCCGCCGCTGCTGTTGTCTGATGCAGTTTTGCTTCCAGCTTAGCTTTCTGTGAGCAAAATGAAAGCAGTGTATGTAGCAGATAATACTGCTTGTGAACACAGTACTAGTACTGAACCACAAGTTCAACTTTCATTACAAAATCAGATTTAATAAATCTAAGTTACCTTCAACACAGGCATGTTAGATGTCCAACTGTAAGCTGAAAATCAAAACTCTATTCTATTTGACCTCACTTGTGAGCAATTCAGTAAATAATTGGTGTAATCAAAAAATAAAAAAACCTACAACTGAGCAGCAAAGTAGAGTCAACAGAGCCAAGCTTCACACTGACAATGGCTTTATGCCTGGTACTTCCCTGTGTCGGCAATCGCGCTTTTCATTTCAGTGGGCTTTTTCAATTTCAGACTGATATACTTATGTATTAAGACTTACTTTTGATTACAAACTCCCAACCCACCCTCAAAATAAACAAAAAACAAATCTGAAAGAACAAAGCAGCATGGGAGACACTCTCAGCATTTTGCTTGTTAAGAGTGATCCTTAGTGCAGAGCTGTTTCTTCCTCAAATACACTATGGAGAAAAAAAAATAAAATAAAAAAGCCACTAGCTCTGCAACTACTTTCTCAGCTTTTGAAGTTTAGAGACAGCATTAAAAAATAGCCAAATAGCCTCCAACCTGTTGCTGAAGCTTCAAAAGCTGCTGCTGTTTCTCTTGCAGCACCTGGAGCTGTTGCTCGGCTGAGGCCATTGCATGAGAGAGAGACTGCAAAGCTACCTGGGCTGCTGAACTCAGTGCTGTCGAGGCTTCCCCAACCGTTCCAGAAGAGAGGCCACCAACTGCTGGGGTAACCCCAAAGGTACTCACTGGCATGAAAGAAACAAATAAAACCAAAACAAAAACATTTATGTAGAAAAGAAATTATAAAACACACCTTTAATCTAATTCCTTACTAAACGTAGCAATGTAAAAACAGGAGAAGTACCTCCTTTTACCCAGTTCTTGCTGCAAAGTAACATCATCTATAAACCAGATAATTTGTAATTCAAGACTATGCGCACTCATCATACATGCAACATTTTTATTACAGAAGTGCCACCTAATGCCCTGGAATTCTTTTGCCATGTAAGGCTGCAAGGTAAAGATGCAAGCTTGTATGTTATACTTTCTGATAGAAACAAATTGATTCGAATTAATAAATTTGGAATCTGGTTTGTTAAGCTCTAAGAAGTTAACTTCACTATATAGTAACTATTTAATAAAAAGCAAAACATCTCAACACTTAGAAAACTACAGGCAATCTGTTTGTCAAAGAGTGCTCATTATGTCAAATTAAAAATATCATATTGTGGAACTATGCTATGTAGAAAAAATGAAAAATTGTATATACCAGTAAACGTACTTGCATCGTCCCTTTCTATTCTAGTTCCATCACTTGTTGAAACACAGGTAAAGTGCAGAGGTTCAACTTCCAGAAGTCCAGTAAGGGAAGTAAAACTACCTTCAGCAGCTGCACAGCTACTTATTTTCCCATTTCCTGAAAAAGAAATAATTATCTCCACAATCAGCTAATGTTTTCCTGACAGCAACATTTCAAGTCACAAAGAGGTGAAAGAGACAACTAAATACAATCCACATATTTTATTACTTCACATTGTGGAACAAACACCTTAACGCTATCACATCCACAACATAAATGGAAGTATATTTTAAAATGGATAATGCTGCCAAATGTGAACAAAGTATCTGAAGTCAAACTATGGAATGTGACAGCAGAAGCACAGTGTAACCTTCTTAATTCCAGAAATAAATTATATATGGATGCTCTATTCTTTCTACACTGTGAGAAAATTAGCTTGCAAAAATACATTGATGTTACTGGAAAGGAAAAGAAAGAAAATAACAGACTGACTAAGACCATACACTGAGTTAGTATAAAAACTATACTATTATTCAACATACTAACAAATTCGGTGTTGTATGGAGGGCGGATGGGTAGGAGCATACAAGAAAAGGGAAGGAGTCACTGTGACTGATGAACGTGCTTGTTATGAAAAGAATTTCCTGACAGGTAAAAAACCATCTCATTCTTAGGACAGTCCATGGCCTAAAGATTCACTTATGAACTAACCTGAGAGGATAGATACAAATATGCTTTTAAGGTATTTTAATGCCTCTGAAACATGAAAAAATCTCTCATTAAATCTGTAATATTTAAGTAGAAGAGTGCCATATGGCAGCTTTCCAACTTTGGAAAAATCCATTTAGGTTTCTCTGCCTATGAGATGGTTGCTAGTCTAAACGAGTAATAACATATCTCAAGGAAGCTGCTCAATAGAAGTGACAGATGCTTCCTAGATGACTCTGACCCAAGGAATGATAGCAGCCTTTCTGTTTAATCCCTAGCCTTTTCTTAGATCTTCCAGAGGATAAGAAAAGAACAGATTCCAGGAAGAGGCTTTTTTCTTGCCCTAAGGGCTACAGGAAATGTAAGAGATCTCACGAAGCAAGAGAGTATCTTGAACTTCATTATGTACAGCTATAAAACAGACTGAAAGTATATAACCACATCTCTGCTAAAGGAAAACAGTATAACAGAGAGAATCACCAATTCTTCCACAGTAGATGACTGTTAAACATACGCACCTGATAGAACATCAGACAAATCAATTTCATCAGACTGTACTCCAATGCTGCTGTTGTATACATTTTTACAAGAAGAGCCACTTATTTCCAAATCAAACAGAACTGGATCAAAAGGTGAACTATATAATCCATATCTGCAAATGGAATAAGACAAACAGCACTATTCAAACAATAAGAATTCATATAAAATTATTTATGGAAAAAAGTCAAGTATTTAATTGTCAGGATTCATTATATTCCAAACTATTCTTTTCAATCAATTACCATATCTAGAAATTACCATTTACTTATATTTCATTAAAGTCATTTATTAGGTGACCTTTTCAAACAGCTTACCATGCTAAATAAGTAACTCTTTGTTACTGAATAGTTTTGAAGATGTAATACTCTCTTGGAAACATGACACATAATCACGCTCAGCCATGGAAACTAGAACTACAAGTCTTAGTTAGCCACAGCAATATGCATGCCTGCACATGGTAAATCAGACATTTATCTGAAGTCAATTAAAAACACAGTACTGTTGTCCAAAAGAGCAAAAGAAAATCCACCTCAGCTTGTTCTTCCAGCTGAAGTAAGTAGAAAAAAAGGAAATGCTTCTAGGGGTATCAACCAGCACTTGCGAGTACTTTAAATATCTCAGCAGAAGAAAACCTCATTACTACTACTCATTACTATTACAACTCTGGCAGTACTGCAGAGGAAAAAAAATAATGCAATTTTTTGTATTTACTCAGGTAACAAGGTGGTTCCAAATCAATCCAGGTTTTATAAGCCAAGAAAAAGCAAAATCCAAAGTAATAACAAAATCAGTGTTGCTTTTTTTTTGTGTGTGTACTGATACCTATTACCAGCAACTGATGAGAAAAAATGGAAGTCAGGCCAAATTATTAATCAGGAGTAGAAAGAAAGAATGCATCTGTGCAGGTACAAAAGTGAGAAACATAAAATACCGTGCTTTGACTGGCAAGAGCCAGAACAAATATGAATTATTTCCATGAATACATGGGCAGCAAGAGGAAGTTCCTCCACCCCCTTTTCCATCTGCCTCTGAGCAGCTTCTCTGTTCTTTAGCAGGCGAGGAAAGCCCCCAACAGGTAACGCTGAGAAGACTGGAGTGTTCAAATGTCTTTTTTGATCAAGTAGTCACAAAAGGATAAATGTCTACATGAATACTACACCACCAGCAACAAGGTAGAATAGGTTCTAGACTTCTCTGAATGCTAAAATCCTTCCACATTGGCTGGGCTCAGTGCTTTTAGCCACACAATCCTAAGACTAACTAGTCAGAAAATGACATTATACAAAAGGGCAATAATTGCTACTGATCTTTGGGAAGGGGGAGGGAGGGCAGAGAAAGGAGGAAAGAAACATACATTCCCCAACCAAGTTACTAGCACCTACAAGGTAGCAAATTTAAGATGACAACTTTATACTAAGAACAAAACATATTAGATGAATCTAGGTTATCTCCACAAGCATGTACTACACAGAAACAGTGCATACTGTTTCTAGCTAGACTGATGTGTTTGCTGCATGACCTTTTTACATAAGCAAAGCAAGACATGCTCCTGTAAAGTGATTACTAAAACACATAAAAATGATCAGACAAAAGTCAGTACAGTACCTTCACAACCTATTTTAGACCTCAGATTTACAAACTCAATAACTTAGGTCTGTTCAACATGAATCTTGCAAGTAATCAGCATTAAAGTGAAGAGTTTGATTTATTAAGTAAGCAGGTGACAAACACTACAAAGGGGTTACAAGAGCTTTGTAGAATAGAATCAGAACTTGAATGTATTGCAGAGAGTTAAATATATTCTGTCCAATCCAGATTTATTTCAATAAGCACAGTGCCTTTTACTGATCCTTCAGCAGG